TGTGGGCAACGTATTTTTATGTTTTTCGCAGTCTGTCACTGGAACGCGGGTCATGTAAAAATACGTATTTAGTAGATTTGTGGTGGATACCCGTTAACCACCGCAAATCTATACGTATAATTATATGTATGTGTGACATTATATGGGTGTTGTTTGCGTTGCTAGGCAACGCTGTGCATTTTTTCTTTCAACAAGTTATGATTGTTGAGTTACTTGGTCTTTTGTTGAGTTATTTCGTCTTCAATCGAATTCTTAGCACCAGAACATACAAGTTGTGCTTTGTCAATTTGAAGCTTGGTTTTTTATTATTTCTTAAATAAATTGATAAAATGAACTGTTGTGAGAAAGATAGTGATGAAGAAATATGCTCTGACAGATTATTGGACTTTTTGTATGATAGTGATTCTGAAAGTCAAGATATCGAAGAAAGTGACGATGATGACATTATTCCACATTCTCAAGTGTTCGTCTGAAGAAGAATTTCTAGTAATTCTGAAACAACTTCTGGTGAAGAAGCAGATGAATGGTCATCGGTTAACAATCCTCCAGACCTTGAAAAGTTTTTGGGTCATCCTGAGATAACTAACATGGCTAATGTTCCTGAATCCACAGCTGATGCAGTAAAGTTATTTATAGGCGATAACTTATTTGCATATTTAGTCACGGAATCAAACAGGTATTATTATCAAAATATGAATCAGTTCAAAATAGCCCCCAAAAGCATGAAATGGAGAGATATTACGATTCCGGAGATGAAGAAATTTTTGGGGCTTGCTATTTTCATGGACAAGTTCGTAAAGACGCCCAAGACGATTATTGGTCAACTAATGTCTGCACAAGTACACAGTTTTTTTTTTTTTTTTTTTTTAAAAACTATGTCAAGGGATAGATTTTGCCAAATATGGAAGGCTTGGCATTTCAATAACAATGAAGACATCACGGACGATTCTGATCAATTATTCAAAGTCAGGCCTATAACTAAATTATTTTGTTGAAAAATTCAATAACATTTACAAACTGAAACAACAAGTATCGTTAGATGAGAGCATAATACCTTGGAGAGGATGATTGGTTTTTAGAGTTAACAACACTGGAAAAATTATAAAATGCAGCATACTCATACGAATATTGTCTGAAAGTGACACTGGTTATATTTGCAATTTTGAAGTTTATGCTGCTGAAGGATTATGTTTGATCGAAACGATACAGTAGTTTCACCATATACTGATGTCTGACACCATTTGTATACGCACAGTTACTACAACAGTGTCGATAACATGGAAGCCCTTTTACAAAAAAAAAAAAAAAAAATACGATTATGCGGAGCAATTAGGAAGAATAGAGATCTACCAGAGTGCCTGAAAAAATCTAATTTGAAAAAAGGAGAAACAATGTTTCGAAAAAAAAATGATATATTGGTACAAGTTTGGCAATCCAAGAAAGAAGTCAGTCTCATCTCTTCAATCCATTCCGCAGAAATGAAAGAAAGTAGTAATGTTGATCGTATCAAGAGACAAAAAATTATAAAGCCAAATGCTTTGATCGACTGCAACAAGTACATGAAAGGAGTAGACTGGGCCGGTCAATATTTGTCCTACTATAGTATTTTGCGTAAAAAAGTGACGTGGACAAAGTGCTTAGCTATGTATATGATGAATTGTGCATTTTTCAATGCATATGTAGTATACAATTCGACAAAGACGCAAAAAATAAAATACAAGAAATTTTTGCACGCTATTGGGTGAACTACCTGAAATCAGCACTGAAGAACCAGAGTAAATTATATCAAAACGCGACCCTCCTGGAAGATTGTCCATGGATATGCGCAAACACACATTGGATAAAGAAAATTGTTGGTGCCAGGAAGAAGAAAAATCCACAAAGACAATGTTGCGTGTGTGCAGTCAAAAAAGTGCGGAGTGAAACGTGTTTCATATGTAGCTTCTGCCGTGTTCCTCTTCATAGAGGAAAATGCTTTGAACGGTACCATACTTTAAAGAACTATTAACGTGTTATCAGTTCTATTTGTACTTGTTATGAAAAAATATTTTTTAATACATTGTAAAATTTTAAAAATTGTTTATTTTTGTGATTTCTTAAAAATATCTTCTTTTTTAAAAAAAAAATAATCATACAGTATATATTTAAGTATAAAATAAAAAAAGTTTTGTTCATAAAAACGAAGTAGTTTTCGATTTACTCCAATTTTCCTGAATAAGCATACTTCCACGCGATTCACGAAAAAACGCCCGCTGCACGCGTAAGTTTGCGCGAAGTATGCCCGCATGCCAAGTGTTAATGTGAATGGCATGTGCACTATTCCAAAATAGACAAGAAAATTCAGAAATAAAATTTATTGCACTTAAATTGCTTGGCTTTCCACACTGCTTTAGAGTTCTGTATAAGTTCACCGATGATCTGTACTTGCAAAGTTTTAACATCCAACTCGAACAGTTTGTCATCAATATACCACACTTCACTACAATGCATATATATATATATATATATAGTCAAATATATATAGTTAATTGGACCACCGGATAATCGGACCAGCTGCTTTATCGGACCAAATCCGACAGAACCAAAACAAATCCTATGTACATAAGCTTAATATTATTCGCTTATTTGGAACAAAATTCCATTTAATCGGACCAAAAAATGTGAGCGCGAATAAGAAACAGAAGCCACAAGTCGGCCACATACAGTAGATGTACAGATGGTCTGTGACATATGGGAGGATCTGTAGTTGCGGCTCCCAAGGGAAATACTTTATCAAAGGTCAGGAATTCCTTAAAGTGCATGGCAAAAGCAAAACCGGTGGGAGGTGAACACGCGACCATTTTCTTTGACCTGCGCCTCCGAGTTTTGAGGAAATTAACAATAGAGTGTCCAGCTCCCCCTGAAAGGAATTCCTGCCTGTCAATCATGATTAAATTTTACATGAAAAAGCTATCATTTCATCACCTTTTTGGGATGATTTTAGCACCAAAGCTTTGAATGGCGAGCATTTTATCTCCCTCTTGACCTCAACATCTTGAACCCGAAACACCAAGGTTTCTTCAGACCACTTAAGTCAGTGAACTGAGCGCGTGTCTTGTCTCCCCTGCCAAAATGCCACGACGGGACTTGACGTTAGCTGAAAAAATTGGTTTCCTGGATAAGATCAAGCAACAACCACGAAACACTAGTCAGTGTCGGTTGGTGGAAATAACCGGATTGGCAAAGACTACAATTTTACACTTGATAAAACAAGAGAATGAGCTGCGAGAAGAATGGGCACAGTGTGAAGGACGAGAAGGAACTTCCAAAAATCGGAAGCATGAAAGTAAGAACCCAGATGTCAATGAGGCCCTTAATAAATTGTTTGTCATTGTTACTGGAGTAAGCGGCCCAGTGTTAAAATGCAAAGCACAAGAACTCGCTAAAAAGCTGGCCCACAATGACTTTAAAGCTACGGACGGTTGGTTGTCTCGATGGAAATCTAGACATGACATAAAATTCAAGAAAGCATATGGCGAGAAAGAAAGAAGCTGATAATGCAAATGCTGAAGAATGGAAATCAACAATACTGCCCGAGCTTCTTGAAAATTTTTCAGATGATGACATCTACAATGCTGATGAGACTGAGCTGTATTATCGTGCTACACCGGATGGCTCATTAAGTTATAATTATGTTGCACTGTCTGGCTTCAAAAAGAGCGATGGATCACGTATCTGTTTTGTGCTGCTCAAACATGTCAGGAACGGGCAGAAAGAAAGCTTGCAGACCTCATCGTCAAAAGCAAGCGAAGTCAGTGCAAAGGTCAACATCTTACAAGCAGTTACATTTGTGGCTGACAGCTGGTGAAAAGTGAGCAGTGAGACAATTCAGAACTGTTTCTCTCACTTGTCTTTAAGCACTTGGTTTTGGAGATGGATGTGGACATGCTCATTGAAAGTGAAAATGATGATTTACACGTGGAACTTCAACAGGTACAAAATTGCAAAGAATTTTTATCCATTGACAACAAGCTTCAATGCTACGATAAAAATGAAGATTACGACGCTATAATCATTGCTCGAGTTGCAGCAAAATGCACAACAGCATCAGAAGACCAAGAAAGTGAAGATGATGATACCGCTAAATAAGTTTGGTGCAAGTGACAACACAGGATGCGACGAAATGCATTGAAACTTTGCATCGGTATTTCATGCAGGAGGGAAATGAAGGCAGTCCCGTTATATTTAGTGGTGATTTCGTTCATGTGCAATCTGTCAAGAAAACGCGTCAGATCACATTGGATAAGTTCTTCAAATGTTAACTGGAAAATGCTCGCCATACGTGTGTACTGCACCATAAAGTTCATAATTACATTTTAGTACATGATTTACGTGTACATTTACTGTTTGCTACATGTAGCACGTCCTGTCTTGCAACATAGGACATGTTCGTGTAATCGGACCAGCCGTTTATTAGGACCAAAACGATCGCTTCCCGATGTGGTCTGATTAACTGAAATTGACTGCATATATAAAGAGAGAGTCCCTGAATCTTGTTTTCTGCAACAGAATTTCACCAGTTTGTACTATGAAGTAGTTCTTTGTCTTTCCTTCAACACACATTTCCTAACACAGGAGTTTTCTCTACTTAATTTCTATGCCATCATCATCTGTAACCATTTTCACTGAAGATAATTTTTAGAATTCTTATTGCATTTAATTAAAATTCAGTTCATTTTGGAATTTTCTTAACAAGTCAAATTTTATAATGTATTGCTGTATATCTTCCACAGAAGGAAACTGCAGTTTTTCCAGGTTGTCTTATGTATACTAGATAGCTCTAATTTAGTATGATTAAATTGTCAAGTGTTTAAACCTCAAATATTATTTAAGCCTGTAATGGAATAAAAGAGGCAGTGTTATTCATTTTCTGTGTTATTATGTACAATAAATAGCATTTAAAAATGTTATTTTAAAACATATTTTCTTTGAATTTATATGTTCTTTTATTTTTTGTGCAGAACATCAGTACAAAAATTTCCACTATGGAACTGCTGTTGAAATTACCTGAGCAAGAAGTTAAAAATGTTATGCATATATCAGAAGCTAAAGATGAAGAGAAAAGAAGATTATTAATAGCTCTAAGGAATTTAAAAGCTTACACTGGTAATAATTTTATGTAACAATATTTAAGATAACTTTTGTATATGCTATGTATGTACAGTATAAAGTCCAAGATCTGAAATCATTGGGACTTTGGCAATTCTGGATTTCAGAAATTGCCAAGTTTTAAATCATCAATTTAAATCTAGTAAGATAACAACATATAAAAATTAAAAATATGAAATAGCAGTTTATGCAATAATGAAGCATTTATAACCCCAGGGGAGTCAATATTTATTTTTTTAAGCTGTTTCTTTTGTTTATGCTAATACTTTCTCTTAATTTTATAGATAGACAATTTCTTTCAAGAATTTCCACTAGACTGACATGTGAAATCTCTTCATTTTCAATAAATGCTTTGTCACTTACTTCATAATCAGTAGTGATATTATCTGGATTTAAAACATACTAAAGATTTCACCATCCATTAGTTGATTTATGAATGGAACATTGCCATTGCAATGGAAAATTTAAGCTGTATCATCTTCATTTGTTATATCTCCATATTTCTTCCAAACTTCATTAATTAAAAAATTTTGCCTTCTATAATGCTCAAAATCTATGTCAAAATGACGCTGCTGTTTTATCTAATTTTGAAACATGTTGTCGATGTGACAACATTGAATATCGTACAATCTCATAGCCAGCAGGTGTCTGAAAACGACTTCCTGGAATTTCAGTCGGAAGAAAAATCGCTTTTATAGCAAACTTTTTTTTTTTTTTTTTTTTTTTTGAAGTTTTATTATATTTGGTACTTCTAGGCTTTGCTTAAAAAATAAAAGTTGGCAGTTTTAAGACCTAGATATAACATCGTTCTGGATATTTTGGACTTCATACTGTATTTCCATTTCATGCTTATATATATAATCATATTTGTAGTGATTAGAAAATAAGTTTCTAATTATTTGTTTATTTTGCATGATGTATTAGCTGATTTTCAAATACAAGTTTAAAATAAGCCCAGGTTAACTGATTTTTAAACTGTCTAATTGAGGTAAAATATTTATTATTTGTAGTGCTGCCTTCTTGCAGAAAATGTTTTTTTTATCATGTCAGTGACAGTTACTGGATATAGTTATTGGATATAGCCTTTTGAAACTGATGTGAATTAAAGATTTAAAATATTGTATTAATTAGTAGTACTTACAAATTTATTAAATTATTTAAAATAAATAACAAATTATATAGGTATATTAATTATAAATATGCATTAAAACTAAAGAAAAATGAATTATTACTTTTAATAGGTATGCAGTTTTAGTAATGGGAAAAGGAAAAATTTATTCAATTTTTGTTCATATCATCTTATGTCTACAAAAATGTGTATTTTAACTTGTAATATTTAAAAAAATGTGTTTTCCTTTCAGTATTTTAATTTTACTAATTAAAATATCTGATGTGGACACCACTGGACTTCCTTGTATGTCCTATAAAGTTACATGCATTTTTTGCTGCACTTCATTTTAAGTTATTTTCTCAACTTATTCTAACTTCATTGTCCAGTCCCTTGAGGCAAGTTGAAAATGACATCAAAAATTGCAAATTTTGAATCAAATATCCCAGTCAAATTTGTCATGCATAAGTCAAACTTTTTTTTTTTCCCATAATGAGTATAAAACTTCCCCAAATGTAAGTATAGGAACCGGGAGAGCTCATTAAAAGTTTAAATTCGTTATTTGTCCAAAATAAAGTTTTTTTTTTTTTTTTTTTTTTTTTTTTTTTTAATTTGAAATTGGGCCAAAACATGAGTATTTTCGTGATTAAAAATACTTCTGTAGCTGAAAGTATATATCTGTGACTAATGATTGTGAAAATAAAGGCTGGGTGAAGGAATAGGACATACATAACTAGACGCTATAACCATCCCATATACAAAACTTCAACATTCTATGGTTAATCGCTTTCAAGTTATCCTTTATTCTGACAGATGGCGTGCAAAAAATAATAAAAATGGATATATCTGTTGAAATCTGAAACCAATTTTTTTTTACTATAATACTTCTTTTACTTCATACAAAGGAATAAAAACGTAAATCCCTGTACTGATTTATGACTAACTCTTAAGTATATCAGAAAGATAATTGAAAACAGTGGACCTGGCTATCTTGCCAGTCATAACTTGTGTTATGTCCTTGATTAAGATATTTTATTTTTTATTTATTTCTATTTTGTTAAGAAGGAAGTTTAAATGTGTTTTGGTGATATTTTCTAATCCTTCCAGAGGTGTTATGCTAATAGATGTAGTTTGTAGTTTTTATATCCAAAAAAGCTGTCAATAAAATTATGTAATAAAATGTGATAGCTGCAAGTTACCAATGCCAAAGATTGAAAGAGCACCAGATAAAATGCAATAGTTACATCAATAAATAGCAAGTGGTTTTAACTTTTTAGCGTGGAAAAAGCTGGTCATTAATAATTTATTTATACTTTCAAAACCCAAAATGGAAAGGAGAAAAGTGTTAACGAAGCCAAATCTGTGAGCAAGTGTGAAAAATTTGCTTGTAAAGTGTCATTAAAACAACTCTAATGAACAGACATATTTTTCTTACTGCTGTAGTAAATTTCTTTTGCAGTTGTGATATTCCATTTTCTGCTGGTGATCTTTTATTCTTAACACGTATGGTAAATTTAAAATTATATTACCCACCCACTGAGAAAAAGCAGTTGATTTGAAATCTGGTAAAGTAAATAATAAATTGAAGTCAAATTGAAAAGAAAGACAATGTAAACCAGTGACAGTGATAGATGGAATAGCATCCATAATGACCCAGTTGTTAATATGTTACTCATACTGATATAGTACTTTAGTAAGTAAAAAAAAGATAGAACACATGCAGCATTGAACCATGGAACAAAAAGAAAAGGCTTTATTGACAAAATAGTGTTGTTACAAAAATCTGTCAGGCCAAGAGGAAGAACAGCAAATCAGAGAGCCTTAGTAAGGGATATGACCTCCTCTAACTGTAATGGTTGTGTTGCATTGTCTATCAGTATTCAACATCAGATTATCTAACAGCTCTTAAGAAAAGAGTTCCAATTCTTCAAGGAACATTTATTGCAGTTGTCTGGTGTTCTCTGAAGGACAAGATTATGCAAACAAGCATTTCCCTAAAATATTGCACACATGTTCAGTGGGATTTTAATCAGGGGAGCACACTGACTAATCCATTCTGTGAATATCTGCACTTAACAACATGAGTTCTGTATTGTCTTGCATTATCATTCATAAAAACAGAGTTGGAACTAGTAGCATGCTGGAAAAGAAACAGGTGTGTCAGAATAATTTCATCACAGTAATGACCTCGTGTTAAGAAATCTGTGTCGACAATGTGGTGTTCCATCTGTCTGTCTATCATAATGCTTTGCCATACAAGCACACCAGAACCACCGCAACTGTCTCTTTCCCTGATGTTAGTGGGAGGAAAGCACTTCTCTATCAACTCATGCTAAGAATCACTTGTCAGACTGAAACAGCTCTCATTGGTAAAAAGGGCATCACTTCATTAATGAGGTATTCAGTCTTTGTGTTCTATGTACCACTGTAAATGGTGCCACCAATGGGCTGCAGCCAGTGGTATGTAGCATTCAGGACAATGGGCAAATAGGCTGCCTATATGAAGTCAACTGGGGCATTTGTCGTCCTGTTGCCATACACAACTACTGAGCAGTGTTGCCCACTGTCTGGTTTCAATCTCTTTTTGCCTACAGGTTGATATATCGGTTTGGCCGACTACTATCAACCTTTCTTACTGTTGGATTTGTTATTTTAAAGGCTTAAGCTCATGAAACAACACTTTTATCAAATCTAAACTCTTAAATCACAGATGTCAAACTCTATCCCTTATCAAACTTGCCAATCAATCATTCTACCACATGTAAAGGCATCCTGATGTTTTCTTGTAGCCATACCTGTATGTTCAATCTCACTTTCGCTTGCAGATGAATGCATTGAAATATATTCATCTGCAAGCGAAAGAATGATCTGCATCATCATTCTTTCTTTTTCTTTTTAAATTGCCTTTCACTGTGCATGCTGACTCATTGCATTTTGCATGCCCTGATTTACCCCTTCACATCATGGTGCTGATACTTGCATATGCATGACCTTTATACTGAGTTGGCTTTTCATTGTACTCATCACAAAAATCTTTTTTTCTACACTTTATGATTATATGTTGAAAAGTGAGTTTGTTGCTTAAGTTTTGCATACTAGTGTTAAGATTTATTGTGAGTAGCATTTCTTCTTGTAGTGTATTGTTTTTATAAAAATAATGTATATATGTCATCAATAAAACATTATTGTCTATAGTAGTTGACTTGTATAACTGTATAGAAAATGAAAAGTTTTGGGGAACACTTGTAAGTTCAATTTCAGTGTTAATTACAAATTCTTCAACCTTGCTTTTCTGTGCTATCACTTAAACGCAATGTTTTTATATATGGATATATCCTGATGCATTATTGAGATAAATTCTTTTACAGAGGGTATTATTTATGTTTTTCTAATTAAAACTTTTACCACATTTTGCAGTTAAGTGCAATATGCAATAAGAAGCTGTTAATCCATCTTCATTATCAGCATATTGTTTCTTAAATGATGCAGCTTTTCTGTCAGTTTTGTGAATTGTGACTTTTGATGCTTTGTGATCAATTGTGCTTGCAATCAATTTTATTTCTTAGCTTCATTTGATGATGTTTTATGGCATAATAAGCACACTGGAAATTGTGTATTTGCAACAGATTCAATTAAACCCATCCTCAGATGTTCCACTGAATAGTCATGAGTGTTTTTTTTTTTTTTTTCCTCTTTCTCTCTCTCTCTCTCTCTCTCTCTTTTTAGATGTTTTGATATATACAATTTCCGAAACTTATTTTAAGCTAGAGGCACATGCTTGCACAAAGTGACAACACTCTACGCTTATTATTCATACTGTAGTCACAAAACTAAGAGAAGTGACAAAGCTGTATAAATATACGAAAGCAGGAGAAGGTGTGTAGAGAAGTAAATTTTCACATGTGTTTGTATACATCCTAGAAGTGAAGTCTTCCTCTTTATCCTGATATTCAGTTGCATTAGCATTTAGAAATTCAATCTGAGTCATTGACTGGATTTAAAATTTTTTGTGATTTGAAAAATTAAAATTATGGGAAGTATCCCTGAATGATACAGGAATAAAGGGTAAATTTCTTCAGAGTATGAATCTTAGTTGATAAGACTGACAGACAATTTGTGGAGCATAAATACCATCAACACATTTCAGATTTATTTGGCTCCTCTTTTGGTGGATTTATGTGGCACATGTATATAGAGCTAATACTGAGATCTTTCACCCTGCATTTTCACATTGCATTAAAATTGTTGACAGGCTATGATCTACAGATGAAGAAGCAAATGAATGTAACTTCTGTTTATATTTGCCCCATTAATAATTGCTGTTTTCTTGAATTTGGAATTTTATTCATCTGTTTTCTTTCATAATACTGCTAGCAAGCTGCCATTTTGAAAATATTGACCTTTGGTATAATAATTGCGAGTATACTGGCAACTTTGTTTCTCACCACAGCTAAAACTTGCTAATTCCTATTTCTCACTACGACCAATAAATACCAAATTTTACTTGTAATTTATATACAGATGTCTTTTTTATATAAGCAGGTATCTCATGAGAACTGCTTATGGCAATTGACATTATGAACAAGTATGTTAACAAAATATTCACTGTAGTATTTATGCAGTACAAAGTCCGTAATCCGGACGTCCATTATCCGGAATGATCTATAATCTGGACCTCAAAGCCACAAACTTTTTTTTTTTGTATGCTTTATGCATACACGTTAAGAATGTGCATACATTACGCGCCCTATACTTCCACAGTCATAACACCTTGGTTCTGTACTCTTATTAGCTTTATCTTGTGTTATTATTATTTATTGCTTTATTTTGTTGAATAACCCTTATTCTTCGTATCTTGAATGCAGATTTTCTCATAAATTTTTAATTTCTTTGAATTCAGAAATAGTTTTACACCCATACAAAATAATTTAGTTACTATTCTGATCTGGTATCCCATTGATTACATAATCAAGAATTGATGAATCATTAACAGAACCACGACTGGCTATTTCATGCATGGCAATTAAATATTCCAAAAGGGATTCACCAGGTGTACATTTTTTACTTTAATTCACAAAGCATAAGAAAATCTTTTATTGTTTTATCAACAAATACATGAATCATTTTTTTGTCGTTTATTACTGTGACTTTCCCTTCGTTTTCTTCATTTTGTAAACTATTTGAATAAAACATTGTGAAAGCATCACTTGAAAATTTGAAGTTATCAGATAGTAAATTTTCAATTTCAATAATTATGTTGTGTGGGATTTGCATTTAGTTAGTTATTTTTCAAATGGTGGCACTAAAATTGGTTATTTTAATCATTGCTTTTCTGCCATTTTATCGTACATTCAGACTAAAAAATAGTGTTTTAGTGGTGTCATGTAAGAAATAAATAACTAAAGCAGTAGATTGCATATTACATGATTATCCCATTTTTTGTCAGTTTTGAAACTCAAAATATCTGTTTTAATATTTACTATTGTATTTGTTTCTTGTATGGTTATATGTAATAATTTTATTTCCATCATAATATGCAAACTGTAAAGTGAGAATTTGATATCTTGCATTTAAAAGTCTTGAAAACTGATGTTTTGATTTTCTGTGATTAAACTCTACGATAAGTTCTTCCCCAAGAACTCCAGAGGTACTCATTTCACTTTTGCTTACATCATTCTAAAAATATTTCTCTCAAGTCATTCTTTTTACTTATTATATTTAATGGTACATTATTGTCTTGCATTTCCAAGTAAAGGATCTTCTTTATAAATTTCAATTTTCCTTGAAACATTTTTTTATTGTGCACTATTATCAATGACAGAAAGAGGAAATTTTTGTGTGTTCATGATCCTTCCTGACTATTGAACTGGACAAAGTTTTATAATTGTTCTCATACATAATGTAATTACATACAGTTTGCTTGAGAAGTTCTTTTGTAGAGATAACCTCCATTTGCAGATACACTGAAAAGCCAAAACGTTGTGACCACCTCTTCAATAACATGTTGTGTGATCTTTGGCCGGCAAAAGAGCTACATCTCACCTTAGCATGGATGCTACAAGTTTTTGGTTAGATGACTGGAGACAAGTTGTATCACATGTGTAAGCAGCGGTCACGCAAATTCAAGATATTGAGATATGATGGTGCTTGCATTCTGAACTGCCACTGCATTACATCCCAAATGGGCTCCATCGTGTTAAGTTCCAGCGAGTTAGATGGTCAGGAAATTAATTAAAACTCATCCTTATGTACCTTGAATCCCTCCAACACAATTTATGCCTTGTGACATGGAGCGTTGTCTTGCTGGAAGATTCCATTTCTAGTTGGGAAGACAGATGCCATGTAGGGGTTCAACTGATCCACAGTTATGTTCAGAAAGTCCACAGCGTTCATATGGCCTAACTAAGGGTCTCAGAGCCATCCATGATAACGTCCCCCAATGCATACCACCACCAGCAGCAGCATGAGCTGCTGTGCAGGGGGACGAGCAACTGTTCACCTGGAAGACGGCATACTCTGACACGATTATTGACATGATAAATGAGAAATCGGGATTCATCCAACCAGGCAACTGTCTTTCACTTATGCATGGTCCAGTCTGCACATTCTCAGGCCCAATGTAGACATAGTTGGCAATGATACATGGTCAACAAAGGCACACAGCTGGGATGTCTGCTGCACAATCCCATATCCAACAGTGTCCGCTGAACATGTGTGTTTCGAAATACTTGCACTTGGACTTCATTGTATTGGGCTGTCAGCTGAGCCACTATCTGGCACTAATTTTGCTGTACTAAGCGAGACAGTCTCCGACATCCTTTTTCTTTAATGATGCATGGACATCCAATACGTTGGTGTCTTCTGCTGGTTTTACAATCACTTTGCATAAATACTAACAGCAGCAGATCATGAAGAATGTACCATTTGTGCAGTTCCGAAGGTACTCATTCCGAGTCTTCGGAACATTACTATATGCCCCTGACAAATTTGCTTAGATCAGCAGCCTATAACTTGCAAAATTAAGTGCAAGAATGATTCATTACCTTCTCCAGCAGCAGTTAAATATTATTCCCACTTAATCATGTGCCCTCCATGTCATCCAGACGTGTTTATTAAAAAATGTAGGGGTAGTCATAATGTTTTGGCTTATTAGTGTAGTTTTCACGTATTTGGTCACAATTAAGGAGTTTATGATGATAGTCTTTTCAAGACACTCTTTAAATAATAGAACTGTTATACTGAAGCTAATTTTACAGAACTGTTTTCTGTAGCTAATTTTACAATTTAACAGTTGCAGTCATATGACCATATTTTTCATTTTAACATATTGATTATACCTCTAAAGAGTGATGACTTATTACATTTATGCTTATTTATTTATAGTATTTATAAAAGTAACCAATAATTTCATTTTGCAGAACGTCAGATTCGAGGTGAAATTACTACAGCAGCAGATTTAGATCTTCATTGGGATTCATGGGACAGAAACTCTACGATAAGTTCTTCCCCAAGAACTCATCATCAGCGAAGGGTTGCCAGATCTTCTGTCCCATCTGAGGAACTATTGAAAAGCACACCAACTCATAGCCCCCAGTCTCCTCCGACAAGCATGAGTTCTAGCCTTCATGCGGGACACCACATTGGCCACATATCTATTTCCTCTTCGTCCTCTGTTATCTCCTCTGCACACCATGGGCCATGGTCACCAACCCTCAATTCAACTGTACTGTCTCCTAGTATGCCTTCCTCGAGAGAACGGAGATATACTCCACCTCCCACTCCTCCCATATCTGGAAAAAAGAGTGATAATAAAAAATTTCCGACCACACCGCCTCCCAGCAAAAAACATCAGACGAATCTCCTGCCAGAAATTTATCCTCTCACTAAGAGCAAATCTCATGAAGAGCACCTAGCCAATAGGATAGAGCAGACTGATACTGTGTCCCAAAGGTATTTCAAATTGTTCTTTTAATTCAAAATATCATAGCACAAACTGCAAAAATAGCAGCTCCTCTACATTATTTTAGTTGGTTTTTCCAAAAGTCAGTTAATGAATTATTTTGCACAAAATTTCTCAGTTGTTTTGTTGGATCATGTGTTAAAATTTATATAATGTAACTGTTCATTTTTTGTTAAAGTGCTTTTGTGGGGGAGAAGATGAATTTTTACTAAATTTTAGTATAGTTGCGTTATTCTTTTCTGACTCCAGTTGTTACGTTTTTTTCTTCCTTCACGTTTGTACCTGGTTCGTAGATTTGGAGTGAATAACGATGACGCTACTTGATGAAATATCGAAACACATTTAGCCAATATTACTCAGAACAGCTCCAAAGTCACGTTTTACAGTCGTCGAAGATCTACTATACACTCGCTGGAACAATCAGCGATACAGCCTTACACCCTATCAGGCTACAACAGTCGAGACAGCTTTGCTGCAAAGCACCAGAGTATAGTTCCCGACTCTGCTCGGTCATTCTCATAACTCCACGTACTCTCGAGACTCCACGCTACAACACACAGAGCACAGCTCCCGACTCTTTGGTTCAGTCGTTCCCGGAGTCCAACATGCTCTCTCGACGATGCACTAAACGCTATACACAAAGAGATTCTTTCGATGCACTCTCCGACCCACTCGGCACTCGCTGACCAACTGTCAACTCGATCGACTCCGCATGGACTGACTCGCTAGAAGAGGCACCAACTAACTGTCTGCAGACCAGCAGGGTATATATAGCTTTTGGCTTGTGTTCGAGAACATTCTCTGGGCTAAACCAGTAAGAATTCGTACTAGAAGGTTCTCCATCCTACCATGGCATATTGCCAATTTTGTCACCAAATGAACGATTTCTTGCCAAATGTGGCAACCCTGCATTCCTTGCTTTTATGGCAACCCTAAAGCTGCTTTGCGAGGAAGCCATCTTACAGTGCCTGTACATTTCATAACAGTATTATTTTAGTGATTAAATTATATCAATTAACTGTTACATATGCTTAAAATTTGTTTATCTTCCAGAAAGATTTTATAATTTTTGAAATAAGCATCAATAAGAAACATGGAACATAAGCTGTTGCATTCCTTTGCTTTGTAACTTGAGTTGCCATAAGTTTTTCATGAAACTATATTTTGTGGTTAATGATATCACAAGTGGCACATATTGCTCAAGTTAAGAGAGTTTAGGAATTATATCAAAGAACATACATATTTTTACTTAAAATTAGGTAAAATAGCAGCCTTATTTTGGCTTGTGATTAGATTGTGTCCTTCTTCTTCAAAAGCAAAAATATTCTGCCTTAAAATAACCACCTTCAAAATAGATAGACTTCGACTTTCGTTTAAGGTTGATTAAGTTTTACATAGGCTTGTTTCCTGGGCTGTGGAGTCGAAATCAGAGTTGGGTAGATTTTGGGGTAAAAGTAGTTGAAGTTGCTAAAATTACGTTGACTCCGACTCCAGTGTTTGTTGGACAGTTTGAATTTGAAATGAAATTAAAGTGAATTGAAAAAAAAAAATTAATGACAAACTGAGTTAATATTTTTATTTAACATTAATAAATAGTTATTTTCTATTTTATTGACATATTAATAAATAAATGTAAGGAGGCAGGATGGACATGATATTTGCCATTATTGATTAAACTGATTCATTTAGTTACAAATCTCATTGGTAAATTTATGTAAGCAACAATAGCAGCAAAAACTCCCAAAATTGAGGCCATTCTTAGGAAGCGAGCAGGAAAAAAAGCTATTATTGATCGAACAACACAATGCAGAAGTACATATTTGATGATATGGTGGTTGTTAGGATTAGAAACTTTTTCAGAAGATGTAGCTAACCCTAATGTTTCACTAACAGAAAGATTGTGGAATGATCTTTCAGAATCGGAAACTCTTCTTTCTACACTGTATATAGCTACAAAAAAAAGCTACAATCGGAAGAATTAACAGGAGGTGAGGATGGAAGAATGTGATGTGTTCTTTCTGAAATGGAGGGTTTATTGCAGAAGAAATCATTTCTTAGTGAAGAAAAGAGAAACTAGTTTGCTAGACAATAAGATCTTGATAGGTTCAATATATGTAGATCCAAAACGCCGAATTTTGTTGGATGACGAACAAATTAAAAAAGGTAAAGAAAGCCATCTGTGAACTTTCATTAAGAATGAAATTATTCTTATAACAACTGGAGTATTCAAATCAGGACAGTCAAACTGCAGCCATTGCAACTGAGTCTCTATCATCCTCTTCCACTGATGAATTAGATTTTGAGAAATATTTGCATAATATTGAAAATGCTAAGGCAAAGCGAATGAAAATAAAGAACCAAGAGCCTTTAGATATAAAAATGAAAAAATACAAACAAGATTTATACAAGATCTTTGAAGAAATAGAGAAATATTGCAAGACAGCTCTTTTAGAACTTATAAAAATCTATCCTGAAAAGTTAAAGGAAGTAGCCTTAACAGTAACAGTTTTCCCTCCTACTCAAGTCTGTGTGGAAAGACTCTTCTCAGTTCTGAAGTTTATCAAATCAGATCTTTGGTCTTTTAAGAAAGAAGATTTTGCCGAAGTTATACTGTTTCTTAGAAATTACTAATGCCAGTTTTCCATTTCATAATAAATGCTAATTAATGTAAAAAATTTGCTATGCATCAGTTTTTTTCTGTAGCATCTATTACTTCTTTTATATTAAAAAACAAATAAGCTGTAACCATGTCTATATGTTTACATATATATGAGGGAGTCAGAGTGTTTAAAATTCCAGGAGTGAAGAGTCGTTTATTTTCCGTAACGACTCCACAGCCCTGCTTGTTTCTCCTCCTATTTGAACATGCATGTTGTATCAGAAAAGGAGGAATGAAATTTACATTTCTAATACCTTCATAATTTTTTAATGTTTTATTGAAATTGTAAATAAAAGAATTCTTTAGTTTGTGAATAAGATTTCCTTTATTCATGAAAGTATGTTAATGTAATTATTTTAAGTATAATCATATCTTTTCAAAAGCATTTAAAAGCTTTTTTTTTCCTATTTTTTTATGCTATCCCCCTTTGTATTAAATTTTTCTTATTAGATGGCACCCTAACAAGCCTTTGTTACTGTAGTTAGTTATTGAGCAGTGAAACTTGGCATAACAAGTCCTTTTTACTGTAGTTAGTTATTGAGCAGTGAAACTTGGCTTATTTATTTTTATTTTATTGACTTTATTTTGAGAAGTTAAGCTTGACAGAATGGCTGTACTTTAATTCTTTGAAAAATAGAGTTCTACATCAGACTCTCTTGAAATGCATTGAACCTTTATGTAATGACAATCTAATTAAAGATAATTTTTTCTGCTTTTTAAGTTCAAGATGTATTTGTTCTCATATGTATATAGTGTTGAATCTTCATCTACTTTAAGGGATATTTGCCTTTAATGGACAGTTCCTGAATGCCCAGATTCATGAAATAGGACATTAACATATTTTCAGTAATGTATACTCCCAGCTGCAGACAGGGTAAAATGCAAAGCTAAAATATTTCTTAAAGATCAGATAGTTAGACTAAATATTATGAAGAAAGATTAAAAAAGTCTCTTGTAGGATGCATTTGTCCCAATGACAAAATGTGAAATTCAGTAGTGTAAAAATAGGAATTTTAAGAAATTTTAAATACTCTGAAAGTTGCAAAATCAGAGTGGTAACAAAACGATAGATTCTCAAAAGAATCGCCACTTGCTAGAAACAGGATATGTTTACTCTTATAACTGTGAATCCCAATAGTGAGCGGAGAAATGCTTAAGACTTTTTTAGAGATTGCTTGTTGGCTATTTTTAGACTAAAGACATATTGATTCCATGGAATTAAGTGGTGGTAAGATGAAAAAATTTAATCAAGTAATAAAATGATTTACTTAAGTGATTATTGTTTAAAAAATATTGTTATTCAGTTTTAACAACTGATTTGCTGAACAAAAAAATATATTAGGAATTATTTCTGCTGAACCAGGAAAAGCCAGTTAAATCTTATCACTGAAATAAAAGTAGGAGGTCTAAGAAATGTTAAGTAGAAAAGATGTTGCAAAGGAAGAGTGATATGAGTAATGTGAGGAAGTATTCTTCATCATTTACCAAAGATAAATATCTACTCTTTTCTCTAGCTTCTTTAAAAAGAAGCTCTGAAAATGATGACAATTTTCATTCATATTCTTTCTTTATTTACACCTTGAAAAGCATAAATCTTACCATTTGAAATTGGTATTGTTGAATTTTCCCTTTTATTAAATATCGAAACAGAAATGAATTAATTTTATTAGAGTAAAAAATATGTTTGATAGAAGTATCAGTATTCTGTAACATAGTTCCATTTTACAGTAAGTATTACTGTCTAATTTAAGAATGGAATGCCATTACGAAAAACATTGGACTTTCATAACTGATAATTATGGGACAGTTTTGTCTCTTATAATTGACATAATTCATTAATTCCCTTGCACTTTAATTGTTGATGTATCAAAATATGTATGTGTCTTAAAAATTGTTAATTTTTTTTTTTTTTTTTTTTTTTCAGTCAAAATGATAATGTTCCTCGTCGTAGGCTAGCTACAGAACCAGGGTTGGAATCTTCAGGATTAGGCCAGATGTCTCCTCTTATGTCATCGCCAAACAGGTCTCCTCCTTTTGTTAGTCCTGACCAACAGACAGATGGCTGTTTTGTCGATGATACATCCTCACAATGTGAGTTAAGAACAATTTCCTGCTTAAAATAGAAAACACATTACAGTTCTTATAACGATAATATCCTTAATTTTATCAGTTTTTAATCAAATGCAGATTAAATAAAATGTTAAAGCTATCTATTCTTGAAGGGTACTATTCTTGAAGGTTTTATTTTGTCATGTGGATTACTTGTAAAGTTAAAACTGCCCTTACTCCATTAGGCTTGGATGACAGAAATGGGCAACTCATGCTGCTTCAAGTCTATGTAACACTTCATCATCAGTATTAGCTGGTGGGCCAATCTCTCAGCAACCTATGACCAGATGTTTTCAGTGGGTGACTGATCTGGAGACCATGTAGGCCAGGGCAGCAATCAAATACCCTGTGTATCGAGAACGGTCAGAACATGACATTAAATATGTGGTCTTGCATTATCTTGTTGGAACATGATGTTTGTAGGCTTCGAAGATAGGGCACAACCACTTTACGTAAGATGTCAGAAATGTACCCATCTGTGTTAAAATTACTGTCAATCTAAACTAGACATGTGCATGTCATGTACCCTATGGCCACCCAAGCCATCACACCAGGTGCAGAGCCACTATGCCAATATCAAATGCAAGCAGGCTATGTGCGGTCTCCTTGGACACTCCAGACACGTATACGGCCATCAGAATAATTGACTTAGAATTGAGACTTGTTTGAAAAGGTGATATTGTACAATCCTGTACCTAGCTTTGTTGTTTGGTGCACCAAAGTCGCCATCTTTCTCTATACAGAATTGTCAAGGGAAGCTGTAGTAATGGTCACCCTGCTGATAGTGCATGCTGCTGGTAACATCAACGCACCTTATGAGCTTATGCTGGGCATGCTGCAAACATGCCCATTTTCTTGCTAATGGTCCGTGATGTGGTCGTAGGGTTTTGCAGGGCTGACCTCACAATATGTCTGTCCTCTCTGGCATTAGTCGTGGAAGGGTGTTGAGATCCTGCATGCCATTTAGTATGATCCTCAGCAATCCATTGATTCCATATTCGCATGACAGCGATTGAATGTAGACCAGTGCGATGGGCGGTATCACGGAACGATAATCTACACTTTCGATAGGCAACGATCCTGCCTGTATCGAATTTCAAAACTTGTTGATATTTCTTCTTTTTATTCAAGGCATAACACAATATTCTGAGCAAACTTCAACCATATAAAGCACTTTTGGAATGAGAACTCCACTGCCCAACTTTTTTTTTTTTTTTTCAGTGCTTCAGATGTTTCTCCCTCCTGCGTCGTCTAAATGCACTGAAGTATTAATCATTTGCATATCCCAGCTTCTTCCTTTCATATAATTTTGACGTTCGTCAGATCATTCCTTCCTGGTGTTGCAATTTTAATGGCCAGCAGTGTTATTATACATTATATAGATATTGAAAATTAACAATCTAAAAGTTTTCTTCTATTTCTCACTGCATCATGTATCATTTTATACAGCTTTCTAAAGTTGCTATCAATATTAATATTTCTAAAATGGAATAGCTTTTTGCTTATTTTAAGTACAGGCAGTTTTTTAGAACTACAGTAATCCTTAATTAAATATGAAACTTTACAGTTGAAGAGAAAGATTGATTATATAAGCCAAATGAAAATTTTCTTCAAAGGGTTGTTGAAAATACTAATAAATTAGCAGTTTTTTTAAGAGACAAAGCAGAGGTTATCAAGAACAATGATTTGTTTACTAAAGGAAATGAGAAAAAGTAGCCAGAAGAAAATGGATATAGAACTAATTTTGTTGTCAAATTTGTTTTGTAATTTTGTTAAATATTAGCTTGTGTTTAATAATAATGCATTCCATGTACTGATTTTCTAATTAGGATGGTATTACACAAGTGAAGTTTATTTAATCAGTAATTGCTTCAATTTATTCATTTATAGTTTTCTGGTAGGTTCTTAATTTTTTTCATTGATTGGCCATAAAGTTCTTTATTTCCATGTACAGAAATGGTTATGGACCCTGTATTAAGAAATGCATTTATTAATTTTAAATCACTAAGTTTATTAAGCAATTACAGATTTATTAAATTTGAATGATAAATTCACCTTGTGAGCAGTGTGGGTTCTTGGATCTGTCATTAAGACCTGCATTTATTAGCTACTTTTGTATAATTACTTATTTTAGTCTTTTTTCATGAACTTGCATTCATTAAGATGACATTTATATGATTAAAGGAAGGAAAAAGTATCCTAAATTATAAGCTAATATGTGCAAATTGCCAAAACTTCTCATGACTGGGTAAAGCCAATCGTGCCGCTCAGAGTGTTAAAGACTGCCCATTTTGCCAAATCGCAGCACTCTGATAACTGGTAATGTGTGAGGCATGTGGGAAGGTAAAAATACTTCTGACATCAGAAAACAATTTTGAATTAAAAGTGTATTCATATGAAGCTTGTGTGTTTTTTATTAGGAAGGCTTGATGATGTCCATTTTATGAAATCTGATATCCTGCCATTTTTGTAATTAATTTTTAGCCATGATAAAGCTCAGAAGTGATTATATAATATATTAATGCAATTTTATTGTATTGCTTTGAAATAAAAAAAGCACACATCTAATAAAAAGGAAGAAAATTGTGTTAAAAATGTGTTGGAATGTGTTCACATGAGTCATATTAAATTTCTAAGCATGCATGCTCAAAAATGCTTCTATACTTTAAAAAATGAACATGATCTCTTTCAATCACTAATAATGCTTTTTTAATATAATTTTTTATCTTAAATTAGTCACTGCCTTGTCAGTTCCAAGATCTCCTAGAACACATGGAATGGTGCATGTTATCCACCATAGGTAGGAAAATGTGCATTCTCGTTTTCAGTTTTTTTGGGTACCTATTAAATATTTTACTATATTTGGCAATAAGATATGTAATTTTATCTCTGTATGATAAGATTTTCCCTCTTTTTTTTTTTTTTTTTTTTTTTTTTTTCCAGATTTACCCATGTAGTAAAACCAACAACTTGTGATTTTTGTGAAAAAAAAGTTCTTTTTGGTTTCAAATGTAAGGAATGCAAGTGAGTAGAAGTATTGTGTAAATTTTCAAACTTACTATAAATGTTTCTTTTTAAGTGTTCTTTGTTAATTGCCTTTCTCTGGATGTCATAAAACTAACTGATCTTTCCAAAGTATTGAAGTTAAAATGGGTAACAATTTCTTAAAACAGGATTTGAATATTAAAAAATTCATTGACCAGAGTTTTGGAATTTTATATCTGAGAGGAAGATCTGAGGTTTTGAATATTCCATCCATAGAAAAACAAAATGTAACTGATGATCCATTTCATATGTCATGAATTAATTTACATAGTTGAGGATAGTCTTGATATGTCAGTTAGTCATTGTGTGGGAAAACTAAATTGTTATTTTTAATGCAGAAGCCTGAAAATTTGGCATTTTATTTTAAAATAAATTAACATTCTTAAATTGAATTTTATCTGTTGTGCATTCAATCCCATATTACGTATTTTATTCTTTTCAGAGAAGTATGTTAGTTAACAAAAAATCTCTTTTTCTATCTTATAAATTATTGATTTATTTTTTACTCATATTAAATCTTTTTACGTGCAAGGAACTTTATTTCTTTTTCTTTTATATATACAAAGACCACTATTTCTTCTTTTGTATACAAAGAGCATTATTTCTTCTTTTGATTTCAGCTTACTCTCAGTAAAATAAATCAAATGTAAATTAACAGGAGGGAAGGGAACAAAGAAAATGCTTGATTTTCTAGCTGGAAATCAAATTTGTTAAATCTAGGAACATAATTTTGTGAACAGTAGAGAAGAACAATAAGAATTATTTAGATTTAAACATGACCATGAATAATAAAAAAGGCACATATAAAAGGCAAATTTCAAATTAATTATTTCAAAGTAATGTTTGAGGTAGATGCATGTTTCACTACTTTTAATAACTATCTTATATCTATCTATCTATCTATATATATATATATATAGATATATATATATATACACACACACATAAATAAATAATTTAACTTTACTATTTATTCTTATATATATAAATACATAAAGACACATAATAAGAGGCTTAAAAATTAAAAGCAAAATTTTTGTACCTGTCCTGCGCTTATAGCTGCAGGGTTGAAGTAAAGTAAAGCATCTAAAGTTGAAAGTAAATTGGAGTCAAAGCAAGGCAATTCCTTTACAAAGTTAATAATTGCAGTCTTGTATAAGAGGTTTAATACAATATCTAAAACAAATTAAAATTAAAGTAAGAATTCATAGTAATACGAACTCAAAATAAAAATGCAAAAGGAAAAAAATATGTACAAGATAATAAAAATTAATCTCTTTTTACTGAAACTTCAATTCAGATCTCATCAGGGGAAAATTAATTATTGCCATGAACAAAACAGAAATGTACCTTTACAAATGTATGATTTCAAAAATACAGACATGATTAAGAAACAGAATGCAAACTATTTTGAATAGACTACACCAGTCTGCAACCATAACTTCAGAAAAACCTCTCGCTCAAGAATTAAATTACAATTATAAATGTTTATTATTACAATTATAAACTTTCACTTATACACATTAACTGAGCAAATTTAAAAGCATATTTTTGGTACGTAAACTATTTCAGAAAACACAAATGCACATTTAGAGCAGCTTTATAGATCCACCACAATGCAAACAATAAATGCAATTATTTTTACAATATATTAAAAAAAATTTCATACAGCATGAATACAAAATTTTAATATTTTTATGTGAGGATAACATAATAAAATTGAACTTGTTTTTGAAATGCAATTTCAGAAGCCAATTCCAGCTAAATACTTCATGTATATGTATCCAAAGAAGGCTAGTTGATTAATATGTTTCGTTCTCCTGGCTCATTTGAAATCAAAAGCCGAAAATAGAATTTATATAAATTTCCATTTAAGACATAAAAATTCATATAAAATCAAATGTCAAATATACTAGGATTTTCCCTATATGCCTTCGAAAAAAGAATAAACATAATTACTCAAAAAAAAAATTTATATTATGTAAAAAGACCATTAAAAAAAAATTAAATTGGCCTAAAACCACTATATGCAAATCTGAATTTCAAAAGCAAATAAATATAAAGAGCAAAAGAAGTATACTTTAAAACAAATTGTCATTTAAACAACACTCAAAAATTGGGTGGTCCCCGATTATGCTACACTAAACTTTTAATTCCAAGAAAACGAAAAACTTTTCATAAAGATTCTTTAAATAATAAAATCAAATCTAAACCTTTATCAGCTAAAAACTGAAAACCAATTAGAAACAAAAATTGAAAAAAATGCAAACTTGCTGAAATCTTAGAATGGCTTTATAAACGAAAATATGCTTAATTCTTCAGGTAACCAAAATGTTTTCCTTGGAGAATTCAAAGTTGTTGAATTCAAAACATGTGTTCAAATTGTTCTTTCCTGTTAAAACTTTGTGTGCAGGAGTGGCAAACGCTGGGTGCAGTGTGTAAAAAGTCTTACCTAAAAGAAGGTTGATCGTCGACTCCAAAATGGCGACGTAAGAAACTTCTAAAAAAGATGCCGTCTTCTGTAAAATCTTAAAACACGAAAGCAGTACTGGCTCAAAGTTTAGGGAAAGGGAAAAAATATATGTTATAAAAGATAAAAGTCTTCTCGTAATCAGAGTACAATATGTCTTTAAAACTAAAAGCCCCATTTTTTTAGTAAGAGCTAGAAAATTTGCCAGTTATTAAATTTACAAAATAGTAGAAAGATAGTATAAATAATAATTTTAAGGGAAAAGAAAGAAGAGTTTTTGTCCATATTTTATAGACTAAATTTTATACATTCTATTTTTGGCTTTTGATCTCAAATGAACCAGGAGAACGAAACATATTACCGTAATTTCCGGAAGAAACGCCGCAGCGTTTACGTGTTTAAAACTTAAATTTTCAGCGGGTGCAGGGTTTCTACCCATGCGGCGTTTAGGTGCATTAAAAATAAAATATTTCCTATGATGGTCATTGTACATAGTTTGGATGGCTTGTCATTGTGCATAGACTGGTGCTGTTCCCACACAAAAGACCACTCATTTGCTTTTTGTGAACATTATTTTGTTTACATTCTTTCCCTTGAATGGACCTACTTGTCTTATTCACCCTAAACGAGATCTCAGAACAATAACATTCTTCCCCCTTTCAAATCAACATTCTCATCAGTTTGAATAGTCTTTCTCCTCTGCCATTCAATGAATCTTCTATCCTCTCTCCACCCCTGCCTTTTCTGCAATTTTTTTCAAAGGCGGACGCGACTCCACCTGCCTGATACAGATCCCATCAGTTTGGGTACAAGTACTTGTTGGATAGTTTTTAAGCATGCATTTTTCTTAACTGGTATGTCATATATCAGGACTTAGGTTGAGTTTTTGCATCCATACGGCACACGACGATGTCTCGCGCAATTTAATCTATTGCGGCGTTTCTGTGTAATTTTAATTTTTTTCCCGACATTTTTCTCAAGTGCGGCGTTTACGCTGATGCGGCCTTTCTTCTGAAAATTACGGTAATCTTGTTTTATGAAGCTTTAATTTATTTTCCCCTTATAGTTCTGAATTGGAGTTTCAAATAAAGGAGATTAATTTTTATATTTTTATTATCTTTTATATCTCTTTTTGCATTTTTTATTTTTAGAGTTTGTACTACTATGAATTCTTATTTTAATTTTGATTTGTTTTAGATATTGTGTTAAACCTCTTATACTCGGTTGCAATTATTAATATTGCTGAGGAATTGCCTTGCTTTGACTCCAATTTACTTTTAACTTCAGATGCTTTATATATATATATATATATATACACACTGAAGTGACAAAAATCATGGGATAGCAATATGCAAATATACAGATAGCAGTAGTATCACATGGAAAATGTATAAATGCGAAGTGCTTTGGCAGGGCTTATTTGTGTTCAAGTTATTCATGTGAAGAGGCTTTGACGTGATTATGGCCGCACGACGAGAATTAACAAACTTTGAACGCAGAATGGTAGGAGCTAGACGCATGAGTCATTCAATTTCGGATATCGTTAGGGAATTCAACATTCCGAGATCCACAGTGTCAAGAGTGTGCCGAGAGTATCTAATTTCAGGCATAACATCCCACCATGGACAGCGCAGTGGCCGACCACCTGCACTTTACGAACGAGGCCAGCAACGTCTGCGTGGAGTTGTCAATGTTCACAGACAAGAACACTGCATCAAATAACCACATAAATCAATGTGGGACGTACGAGGAACGTGTCCAATAGGACAGTGCGGCGAAATTTGTCTTCCTTGGGCTATGCCAGCAGAAGACCGATTCGAGTACCTTTACTGACAGCACGACATCGCCTGCAGCGACTCTCGTGGGCATATCGGTTGGTCCCTAAACGAATGGAAAGCCGTGTCTTGGCCAGATGAGTCGTGATTTCAGTTGGTAAAAGCTGATGGTAGGGTTCGAGTGTGGTGCAGACCCCACAAAGCCATGGACCCAAGTTGTCAACAAGGCACTGTTCAAGCTGGTGGTGATTCCATAATGGTCTGGGCTGTTTTTACATGGCATGAACTCGGTCCTCTGGTGCAACTGAACCCATCATTGACTGGAAATGTATACCTTCAGCTACTTGGAGATCACTTACAGCCATTCATGGACTTCACATACTCAAACAATGATGGGATTTTTATGGATGACAATGCGCCATGTCACCAGGCCACAATTGTTTGCGATTGGTTAGAAGAACATTCTGGACAATTCCAGCGAATGATCTGGCCACCTAGATCGCCCAACATGAATCCCATCGAACATTCATGGGGCATCATCGAGAGGTCAGTTCGTGCCCAAAACCCTGAACCGTCAACACTTTCACAATTATGGACGTCTATAGAGGCAGCATGGCTCAATATTCCTGCAGGGGACTTCCAACGACTTGTTGAGTCCATGCCACATCGAGTTGCTGCACTTCGCTAGGCAAAAGGAGGACCGACAAAATACTAGGAGGTATCCCATGACTTTTGTCACTTCAGTGTATATGTCATGTTTTAATGCATAGATGAAGGAATCCGGTACTTTAATTTCTGGCCTCCGAAGACACTAGTTGGAAATTGTTGGAAGGATGAATAGAATGGTTGTTGGAAAGATGTTGTTGGAAGGATGAATGCATAAACTAAAAACTTCCGGATATGGCTGTTTTGAAAAATAATTTTATTGCAGGATAATTCACATCAGATCATCTTTCTGTAGATAAGCTATTTTTAAATCATATTTGAATATAATAATTTCCATGGACATGGGTTTTAAAGTACAACATCATCTTAGACAAGTAAGCAGCAGCATGAATGAGGAGCTTCTTGCCAGGAGGAAAGCGTAAGTGATAAAAGGCATAGCAATTCAAAACAAGAAGGGAGTCAAAAAGTTTCAATTCCAAGCAAAAAGGTTTTGGTTTACAGTTATTTGATTGGGCAAGAGGTATCTTCATTAAGCGTTACATAGGATTGCATGATTAATTTGAATGACAGTTTAGACTTAAAGCGCTATTTTTAAGATAGAAAAAGTAAGTCTCCAAATTAAATAAAAAAAGGTATAGCCAATTAAAATTAGAAGTTTGCTTTCATATTTTTTTATCTTATATAATATATATATAATTACAAAACTTTTTTTTTTTTTTTTAACCAAATATAAATATGCCTAGTATTTTCACGCATTAAGCTGGCAGAAAAAATTGTCATTAAAGACATAAAGTAGGAAATTTAGAACTAATATTTGACAAAGATCAAAAATTGAAATTCATAATTAATACATTCCAAATATTTGCAACAAAGAATTAAACAAGCAAAACCCCATTTAAAAAAATTAATGAACATTTAAAGAAAATGAACAAAAACAGAAGAGGAACTCAATCAACTTCAATCTTACTTCATCAAGGGGGAGGAATAAATATTGAAATCAATTGAATTCTCTCTTCTACAACAATCCCTGCTTTTCTGTATCCAGACTTAGCTGATGAACTATTTCAGTGTATTTTAATTATAATAGTTCACTCGAAAATTCTGACCCTTCCCCCAAAGCAAAGAAAAAGAAGATAATTCTTTTTTATAAAAAGAGAATTCTGTAGGAATTGTATTCAGTATACAAAAACAAAATAATGCATTTATTAATTTCATACTTATTTTCAGATGCATTAAATCATACTGATATGCTTATTTTTGACCTTCAGCCATAACAAAATTTTGGCTTAAAAAATTTTCATTAATTTTATAAAACATTTCTAATTACTTTATAAATCCATTGGATTACTTGAAATGGGACTATATATGTATGCATGTATCTAAAAAATCACACGTTTTGGATAAATAAGTTTTAAATTCTGTGAGAACATAAAAAAAAAAAAAAAAAAAAAAAAAAAAAATGAATTTTTGTACTATTAGAGGATGAATGATGTGGGAAGTGTTGAAAGCGTATTATTTATAAATGTTAGGGTTTAAATATGCTATAGTTGCTGTTTTATTATTATTTAATATTCACGTGTTGTAGGAATATATATATATTATTTAAAACATTATTTTATTTATTTTCTGAGATGATAATTAACTAACCTCTAACATATTTTACTAAAAAATTTAATTCTCAGTTTATTCTAAAAATTATTATTTGAGAATCATCAACATTTAAATTATTATAAAGTAAACCTTGAATTCATTGCATTTGAATCTATTTAATATAATTTGACATTATTTTTTGCTGTAAGATTAAATATCTGTACTTATATTTTTAATTTGCAAATGTATGTTATAAACTTTTAAGTGTTACTTTTGATTCTTATGCTATGCAAGTATCGGGTAAAAATAAAAAAGCTCTATCTTTAATTCTATCTTATCTTCTATTTTTTAAAAAAGAGTTTTTTTTTTTTTTTTTTTTTTTTTTTTTAAACTAGGTATCGAGCTCATAAACAGTGTGTTAGTAAAGTGCCTCCATCTTGTGGATTGCCCAATGAATTAGTTGATGTATTTGTTCAAACGATAAGGAATGATGGTATGTTCACAATATCATAAAATACTTTTTATAATTAATTCATTTAAATTCTAGTGTAGTTAAATCAAAACATTATGTCAAGATATAGTAGTATAGGTAAAATTCAAGATCTAGTAATATAATTTTAAATATAGTGTTTTCAAAGCACTAAGTAACAAAAATTTAAAAACCTTCAGGTTTTTTGCTTCTGATGAAGAGGGACCAATGTCCGATTGTTTTCGAATAGAGTTTTATCAAAAATCTATGCCAAACAAAGATTGCTGTTTTTGGGAGAAGAGAGGAAGCAGTTTTAAATTTCACATTATTATGTTTCTCTTCCATTTGATAACTCGCATTAATTTATATTGCATTCTAGAATCTGGTCAGTCCCTGGTAACAGAACCTCAAGCAAGCTAGCTGTGTTTTGTAGTAGTAATCATTTTCTTTTGGCTGCCCAAAAGAGAATAATTAGGGATCTAATGTAATGCCAAAATGCTAATTTTATCTTTTCACGAGAATAAATAAAAATTAATCAAAATCTATGTCCTCAAGGTCTTTGAATAAGATTTATATTTCGCTCTAAACTAATTAGTTCCATTTGTAGATTTCCTGATGCTTTATTCACGTTCATTTTTAGTGTTAATGAAAGTAATATAAACTCAGACTTCAAATAGTTGAAATCATTGCAACAAATTCATACTGAAATGTATTCATGATCCGCATAAAATTGCTCTGGGGGCCTGCAAGTTTGAAACCACTGGTATACTCCATAGGAGAAATAGCAAAGTTGCACTAGCTTATTGTAATATTTTTATTGATATAACTAGAAGAAATAGCTACATGCTACTCTTGACATGCTAGAGGTATAATTTCATTTATTAAAACAAATGATGTATTAAAATTATTTTACATAATTATACATTGAAAATTTCTCTTAAATGCAGAGTGAGAGAATTTTCTAAATCTATGTGATGCAAGGTGTCTATGCCTTCTTATGTCATAAAATATATAGTAAGACTTTGAAATGCTGCTGTGCATTCAGAAATTTTTCTCAGAGTATCTAATGCTCCTTTTGATTATTATTATTTTATTTATTTTTCTGTTTATTTATTTTTTTATGGTGCTTTTTCAGGAGATTCATGATTATTTTAGTTTCTTTGCAACGTATTTTATTTTTATAGTTTTTTTCTTTTTTTTTTCTTTGAAATTTGGATATCAATTTCAGTCATTCATTTAATAAATTATCAGTATAATTTTCTTTTTCCATTTATGTTATTAGATTAAAAGTTTCTACTTTTTAAAAGCAGTTAAAAAAATTTAGATATCTGTATTTTAGTTCCACTTTGCAATCAGATGTGAAGCGTTAAGCAAATTAAAAATTTTTGTTTATTATTTGATGCATATCCTTTTCCTTTATTCATTATTTTATAACTCTTGCTATAAATCAGTTAGAGAGTTTTAAAAGTCTTTATCATCCTTTTATCAAGAGATTGTATAAACACTCTCATACTGGGAAGTAATGCAATTGCAAAATTTTATGCTTGTGAGCTTCACTACTGGAGGAGTAATTCAAAATTTATTTATTTATTATTATTAGTTCCTTATTTCATTTAGGAAGCAAGCATGTAAATGTTCTACTAATTTAGCAAGGAGCATGATTAAGTTCCAAATGTATAAGCATTCCAAAAGCTAATTCTCAGTTGACTGATCATCTACATCCCCCCTACATGCTTGCTGTTTTACTTGCTATACATACCCCCTAAAATTTTATCCATAATTTCTTACAGTCAGTCAGGCAGCACTTTTATTGTGTGTTTGGATAAAGGACTGCTTTCTTGAAATAAAAGAATAATTTATTTCATTCAAAACAAAAACAAAAAAAAAAAAAAAAAAAAAAAAAATTCAACTTAATTTTTTAATGTGGAAAAGTTAGCACCTAAAAGAAATTATTATTTTTCGTTCCTATTTTGATTCTTATGAATAGTTTTATCCTTTTAAGTAGCACTCACTATTTAAGGTATTTCTTTTCTGTTGTAGAAAATCGCTCTCCTATGGTCTCAAGAACTCATGTAGCAAGTCCAGCCAATATGGTCCGTCAGCAGCAGCAGCAGTTAATTAGCCTTTCTGCTTTTCCTGCTCATGATTCTTCATCGAATACATCCTCTTGTAACTCATCTACTCCGTCTTCTCCCGCATTGATCACTGCAGCACAGCAGTCATCACCACCAGCCCCTATGTATCAGTTCCAATTTCCAGGTGTATATTCATGTTGACTTGTTTTTTTCTTTCCCAGAATGTTTAAAATGGACATTTCTGTGATGTATATAATATACACATATATATATATCACAAATTATTTAAAAATAAAATTATCTCAAGTTAAGGTTAAGTTTTTGAGGTTTTTGTATTTCACATTTCTTGAATTGAATTTCACTTTTAGGTCTTTATGGAATTGGTTCTAAATTTCTTACATTTTGTCAATATATATATACCTCCCTTACCTGGCCTTTATTTTTGCAATCTTTGGTCATAGTCATATACTTCCAGTTAAAGAAATGTTTTGAATGCTTAAATGATTAAAATATTCATGTTTTGGCATTGTAAAATTTTTAAATTAATATTGGGCAAATAACAAAACTTAATTTTTAATGTGATCTTCCAGTTCCTATACTTACATTTGGGAAAGTTTTATACATGTTATGAGAAAATAAAAATACAAGAAATTTGACTCCCCATTGGACAAATATTGGCCAGGATATATAATTTCAAAATTTGCAGTTTTTTATGTCAGGAAAAATATTGTTTTGGAAATAATTGAAATGCTGTTACCTTAACTTTCTGAAGCCGGCTGGTACAGCAGTTGTACCAGGAGAATGACTTTCTCAGACACCGGCATTGGTACAACTGTCGTACCATCCATGCCCTCCCCATTTTAGAGAATCGCCTATCTGTAGATCTCTGGGTGGTTCCTTGTCACTGTCCGGAGTAGCCGATGGCTACGCATTATTTCCCTCTTCTTATCAGTTTGGCTACATTTTGGCAAAAACCGCAGGTTTCGTCTCACGCCAATATACTTGAAAATCAAATAGAGGCCATCTCTTTCTCAATCTGTCTCATAATTTTAATGCTAATTTTTTTAGTACTGACTTTTGCTATGATTAAAACGTCAGCGATTTTGCACGCTCTTTAAGCTTACCATATTTAATGTTTTTTAATCATAACAAATAAGAATAGATTAATATTTTAGATTTAATGCCCTTCTAGAAAATAGGTAAAACCGCTTTTATCGTTTACTTCCTTTCAATACTTATGAATAATAAGATTTTGACATTTTTTTCTAGAGTGCATAAAACCCTTAAGAACTGTTAACTCTTTCAAAGTGCTTCTATTATGTAGGCAATTTTGTCTGATTTATCAGGAGATAAATAAGAGACAATTGTATGCATAATAGTTTTTGGGATTTTCATTCATTCAATGATTGCTTTCAATGATTTTCATTGATTGTAAATTAAATAAAGTCAATTTATCTTTAGACCCTCTTTTAGGATGAGATCTGCCAAAAAGTATTTAAATATCAGTAAAGCTCACGTTACTTCTAAATTGAATCAAAACATCAGTTACATTGTATAAAATTTCGGCCAGTTTTATTTGCTGAAAATAGACTCCTCAAAGAGGAATTCAGACAAGTTAATAAAAAATATCTTTAAAAAAGTTTGTTGTTTTGTTATTTTGTCTGTAATAAGGTGTATGTCAACTTACTATTAAATGTATGAAAATTAGGATTGGATTACGGAAAAGCACGCGAACGCTATCTGCTTAAGGGGATGGATGCTTTCGTGTAAACCTTTTTAAGAGAAAATTGCTCGCATTTACGTTCCTGGTGGAAAACTCCACATGTAATCAACCCGTTCTTCGGGTTTGATTGGATTAATTTTGTTCGCTTACTGAATTAATTACATCAAAGCACACAACAATTACCTGTATAAGGGGAGTTATGCCTTCGCGGAGGACTTTCTAAGAGAAGCTGGCTTGCATTTACGTTACACAAAAACCGTGAATCAACTACTATTTAGCCGGGATTCAAACCCAAGCGAGCTACAAGTGTTCAGCCACCTTTACCGCTTAAATATTTACGATATGGTAATTTAGTTTATTGAATTATGTTTGCAAAGTTATTTCTCATGAATTAATTTTGCTCCGTTTCATGATTTTTGATATTTTCTTAGAAGAGAAAATTCCATTTACACTTTAAATAAAAAAATAAAAAAAGATACTTTCGAGAATTTGGATTTTCACTTTTTTGGTTTTAAAATTTTGCTTTGAAAATATTCCAGGGTAATCGTTTTCATTACTGGAAGAAATATGAAAAACAGATTTACTACATTGTGTCAACACCCAGTATGTCCTTATTCTTTTGAAAACGTGAAAGATTACTCTTTCTAAAATAAATTAGAAAATATATTATGTGCAAATAGAATATTCGTTGAAAATGAAATAGACTTCAACCTTTGGATATAACGATGGTTTTAGACGAAATTTCTACCTATGAAAAGAAATTGACGTATAATTAATTCTTCATGAACATTTAAAACTGTTCTCAAAATTCTTTTGATGATTGCATGTATAGGTCACGGATTTTTTTCTCTGCTAACATAAACAAAAGCCAATTTTACAAAGAAAAATTCTCGTTAAAGATATACCTTCTTTGCCTGATAGTCCAATGTAATATTTGTTAAAGTTAAATGATTAAACGCAACCAATGTATCTCGGATTTTGATTTTTATATTATAATAACAAAATTATCGAAAAAAAGCAGATTTAAATCTCTGTTATTGTTATGTAAAGCTTTATTATTGCTGTAAGTTCATCTCAAAATCTAATTGTATTGAATCTCATTCTAATCATCTAATGGTAATAAATATTATTATTATTTCATTAAATTAGTCATTACCATTATTTTATTAATGAAAATATGTTATTAAAAATCGCATTCCAGCCTGCAGACTTACAAATCTAGTCCGTATTTACTATATTTTGTTAAATTTTGTTCTCGCTTTCTAATTTCTAATACGAGAATACGCGAATATAAATGAAGAGTAAAAACAAGATTGATTAGAAAACAAGATTGATTAAAATATTCACAAATTATTTACGAGATTGATTAGAAATAGTGAGTGAAATATAAACATTGCATACATTTTGTTCTAAATAAATTGTGCACTGGATATGCATCCAGTACTGCATATTTATTTATGCACTATTTTTTTAGAACTTCATTTAAATGAAAGCAAAATAATCATCGAAAAAATTGCAAATCTAGCAACCCCTCTACTATGGGACGTAAGCGTCCGACAAACATGTAAATTTTACTTCATCCATGGAGGGGGACTAACGACTTTTCTCATTAGGAAAATGTCAAAGAGGGGGCAAAACTGTTTTGGATCGCGCCGGTCTGAATGCTATATTATGAGAATTTCGGCCCGGTTTTAGAAGGTTAAACAGAATTATAAATAATGTGTTCATAATATTTCTCCTGTGCAAACATCATAATTTAATATGATTCCAGTTATCTTATGCTGCCAATATCTTCAATAAAAACAAAGTGGATGTATTTTGAAAATTGGAGCTATTATATTTAATTTTTGTCTTTAATTATTAAACAGGAAGGCGTTTTTAATAAAGCATAATTAATATTTGTAATAACCAAAGAAAATATCTTTCTAACATTCCACTTTCATCAAGTTTCATTGTGTAGATAACAAGAAAAAGGAGTTTTCATATAATGGCAAATGAAAAATAGAGTGGAGAACGTCAGGGGTGTTTGTGCTCCGGGGGAACCCCGGAATTCCGGGGATTTTGAACTTCGATACCCGGAAATTCCGGAGATCGTCGTTCAAAAGGAAGTAGGAATAATAATGAATTATTTATTTTGATCTGGGTAATTTTGTTTGCTTTGAAAGCAGAAAACTTTTCCTTTCTTTCTCCAAAGGCAGTGATAATGCGTGAAAAGGGGGAAAAAACTTCTTTTTTGCTCTTTCCTTATTGCGAGTTACTACTCATTCCCCTGGTTCTCGGACATTCTCTTCTGGATTCTTTTCGGCAAGTAGGCGCGGCAGAAAAAAAAAGGGAGAGACTTCGTTCGACCAGATGTGCGATCACGTGACCTCTGGGTTCAAAGGTCTTATCTCTCCTGGCGTAGCGGCAGTAAGTAGAGAAGGGGGATTTTTCGCCGTATTAGCAATTTGTCATTGATCACTTCTCAACTTTTTTTTCTCCACTGTGTAAAATTTTTGTTTCATTTATTGATGCACGTGTAAATTTTTCGTTTCGTTTATTGAAATATTTTTTTATTTATATACGCAAGAGAATTTCACTATGAAATTTCTCAATATAAGTAGTGATATTATACAATTAGAAGAAGGTGTCCGGAATGCATTTAGGTGGAATTGAACGGAGAGATGGTAATGGGGATACTATCGGCACATGGTGCAAGAAAATAAATGTTGCTGGACAAGCATATTGAATTTTTTGTAACTCACTGCTGAAGTATGGTGGGGAAGGATTCAAGGCTTTCACAAATCATTCTAAAACTGTGACACACATAAAATATTCAAAGTGCATTAGACATTCAATGACTTTAAGTAATTATGCTAATTCAAAAAATACTGATGACTTACTGGAGACTAATGCTCAGCCATTGGATATAGTGACAAGAAAAGCACGCCAAGAGGTATTAAAACTTTGTTTATCGCCGAGAATTCTTTCTTTCAATGTAGCTCCCAATTTAATTGAACTCTGCAAAACAGTTGAGCCGCGATCAGACGGCACTAAACTCGTTGGAAATGTCCAGGGACTACTGCATGTTATAAGATGAAATAGGGCTCGTAAAAAACTATTAAGGAAATATCATTAAAACGTTAAAGGAGACTCCTTTTCTCTAAATTTGGATGAAAGTACTAGCAATGCTCAAGAAAGTATACTGGCAATATTGGTGCAGTTTATGACAACAATCAAAATGAAGTTGTAGTTCATCATTTTGCATCTCTAAAGATGGAATCTTGCAATTCACAAGCTGTCTTTAAAGCAGTTGTTAATACTATTGAAGATAATAATATTCCATGGCAACTTAATTAGTGTATTAATGGACTTGTGTACAATCATGCGTGGAAAAAAAAAAGGTGTTGAAACCAGACTACGATCAAACAAAGCACCCCACTTATTAGATATTGATGGTGACACATGTCACACAGCTAATAACTGTGCAAAAAAAAAATTTGCTTCATGTTTGATAGATACTTAGAAGATTTGTTTGATGACATCTATTTGATATGAAAAGCTGCTGTAAAAGAGAAAATTTTTTCAAAATCTGTGAATCCCTTGCCATTAAAAACTTAAGCCCTTGAAGAGACCAGACCATAGGTGGGTGTACATTTTATGTGTTTTAGAAAGAATCAAAGATCTGTGGGATGCTCTTATTGCATTTTATTTTCACTACTTGGATAAAACTGATAAAGGGGATTATTTTTCTTATGTTGAAACTGTATACAATAAAAGAAATATTTCTGCAGCTCAGAAAAAAATTGTTGAAGGGGTGGATTTTTGCTTGCTTCCCAACACCCACAAGGATGCTTTAGCTCGGAAAAAAAGAATACTAAATGGGTTATTTGTTATGCAAAATAAAACTTTATTGCATATGGCATTATATTCAGCAGTATTACCAGAGTTCAACACATATATTAAATTATTTGAAACAAAAAAAACCAATGCTTCATTTAATACATTCCAGTATTTATAAATTGATGGCAAAATTTTCTCTTTTTTATGAAGCCAGAAAATATAGAGTGCACATCTTATAATGATTATTAAAGGTTGATGTCACAAATCCAGAATTCCATCTACCTAGCAAAAGTAATATTTACTGGTGCAGAAGCTTCCACTCTCCTGAAGAAATTATCAAAAATCATCCAATAGCAAAAGAATTCCAAATTTCTCTGATGAAAAGCTTATACTAATACAGCACAGCATATGAAACAGAAATTACCCCTTAAAATTCATATCTAATTAGTTTTACAGCATTAGATCCAGAGCTAAGAGGTAAAACCAGTACAATATTAGCTTTTGAAAAAATATCATTTTATGTCCGTATTTTGTAATGAAATGAAAAGTCAAAAGTAAGCTGAAATAAGGTTATACCAGTGTATTGATATCCCAAAGAAATGCTCTACACATCTGATGAAAGTGGAAATCAAGTCAAGGTACATTATAAATTTGTCTAAAGTTTTTAATTTAAAAGATGATTTCACAATGATTTATAAGTATCCTACATTGGCTAATTGGTCAAAGCCTGCTTAGCTGCTCCATGGCCGTTAGTGGAAATGCATTCACTTAATGGATACACTTGTCCTGACTATAGAACCTCTCTTAAGATTGATCCCTGGATGCAGTGCAGACTATTAAATATTTAATGGCTTCTAAAGAAACCTCGTGAAAATATGGCTCAAAAAATCCAATGACTGATCCATTCACAAAGATCTCTTACTAAATATGAACAGAAGTGGAAAACATATCAAGAGGACTTAAAAACTGTATTTCAGATGAGTCACCTATAAAAGTCTATGAAAAAACCTTCTACATTAGCAGAAAAGCAAACTGCTTCTACCTCTGCATGTGCAGTTCTCGAGAAAATTTCTTCACTGTAAATGAGGAAATAAAAGTCAACCTTCCTGCAATTATGAAGTTCCCACAAAAGAAAGACAAGCCCCCAAACATCAGAAAATAAAAAAAAGCAGCAGAAATTAGATATTTTTTTTAAAGAATTAATTCAGGTAATTAAAATATTTACATAAAAAGTAGTAGTTAATTTTTGAAAGGATGGTATTAATTTGCAAAAAAAGTAATTCTGAACTTTTATAATTAGGTCATTCAATACTTCATAATTGTTTTTTTCGTTTCTCCCCCCCTTCTCGAAACTCCAAAATGTCGGTAGTAAGTCCGTAAAAGTTTCAGGGGATTTTTTGGGGTCCCACAAACACCCCTGGAGAGTGTTAAGATCAATTTCACATAATATCAAAATATATTTTACACCCAATTTTTGAATATGAAATACCCTCTGTTTACCCATAGTGGCATCAGTCAGTAGAACTGCATCAAGACAAAGCAAGCACCCACACGTGAAAATCCACTGTTAATTTCCTGGAAAAAATGGAACAAGAAATGGATATCTAGGCCATACCCTTTATTTATATCCCTACAAAATCTCCTGATATATCACCCATGAATTTTTGGACTTTTAAAAAGCAGATTGTCCAAACATTAACATAAACCTTCCTTGTTTAAATACAGTGAAAATCGTCTAAAACCTGTAAGCAGCCTCTGTAGTATAAATGTGGGAAATTTTATTACAGTCCTTTCCTTAAGCATATAGCTAATAATATGTGCTACCCTAATCAGACCAGTCCAATTCAAGTCATACTTATGAAACTTCATTTAAGAAAAAATATTTTTTGCCAATCTGACCTATTCTATTCTAAGGGCACTATAACACATCTTTCTGTTTCAGATGAATAGCTGTTTCAAACAGTTTTACAACCTGTGTTATTATTGCAAGAAAGATACATGAATTTTTTCCTTCCTTCCGCAAAGAAATGTAGACTGCATTTTCACCCAGTTAGCTAACTATAGAACTTGAATGGAAGTTCTTTGTTGATCTATGTGTTCATAACAGAGAAGTTTACCATTTATATGGTAATCCCATAGTGATTTGTTTTTAGAGACACTTTTTCTGTTATTGTTAAACAGTGCTAAAATAATGAAAACATCCATTTAGCTGCTAAGTCACCCAAATAATTGCTATAATTATCATTCAGCTACTGATGGGCTGGGGTTATGTATATCACTTTGAGAAAAAAGAAGTAATCCTGTTAAAAGTTTTACAGTTATTGCAATTAACTAGCATAATGCAAACATAAGATAAAATGTATGGTATTCTGCTTATAAATTAATCTTTGATTTTTTATATAATAAAATTTTCATGATTTTGTATTAATTCGAAGTGTGCATATATATAACAAATTTTATGTTTAAAAAACATCAGTAAAATTTTGTGAAATGTTGAAAAAGATACTTTGTGCTTGTTAAATTTCTTAGTAGTCACTATGTCTCTGTTATACTTTCATTAATATATATTACATTTTGCTTTATAATGATATTTAAGTTTATGTATATGTTACAGATGTAGATAATACAAGTAAAGGAGTAACTTTGGAAACAAAACCATTGGTTGATAATGAACTAGTAGAAACTCAGAAATCTAATGACAGTGATAAAACATTTGGTTCTGGAAGTGTAAGCAGTTTTTATTGTTAATTATAATATTTAAAATGCACTTCTTATTTAATGATAAAATTGTAATTTTATCTATCAATGTTTAATCATTTACTAAAATTTAATGTAAGTACTAATATTTTTGTCAACATTAGATTCATCCTCAGCTTATTGCATATTTTTCATTTTTCATATGTTTATAATATGATATATTCTATATAAATTAGAACCATTACTTATAGTTATGAAGTTTAAACAGTATTTTATATCTGAATGATCTTTCAGTGTTAGTAAAACTGTGTGATTGAATAAAGTCCAAGAAATGTTTCTCAATTAAATCTCAACATTAAATGATCATTTAAATGTTTCTCAACATTTAAATGATTTTGTTTAATATCTGTCTCATATGTATTTTGTATAAATTTCTTTTTAGACGGATTCAGATAAAACATTAGCTGGTCGTGTAGATTCTCAGGATAGTCAGATATCTTGTGAAGATCCAAATGAAAGGTCTTGGCCGAGACAAAATAGCGTAAGAATTAAGTCATTTCTGTTTGTGCAGTGGAATTTTTTATGCATTTATAATTATTGTATGTAAATAGATTTTTTACTGCTATATGTATTGAAGTCTTGCATGTTCTATGTGTATTTTTAGTTGTATATTTTAACTTAAAGAAATTTAATACGGTGATAGTAAATTTGGAGGAAATTTTGTATGTTATTTCAGTAAAGTTACACCAGAAAAAAAGGGAGACACAGCAAACTCAAAATTACTGTTAGCAAAAGGTTCCAAAGCCAATCAATTAAAGCAGTACTCGTGCGAAGCAAGCCTAAAAAATTAAAGTATAATATAACTGTTAAAGAAAACTCGTCACAGACCTCAAACACATACATAAGTTGTCAAGCAGTGTAGTCCATTTAAAAAAAGTCTGAAATCATTCAGATTTTATATTACAATTGAAGGAGCTTCTTTTTTTTTTTTTTTTTTTTTTTTTTTCTTTTTTAAAAACGTTTTGTGTGTTACCTTCATTTATTAAATATCATGTTCTTTGCAATTAAACCACATAAAATTCAATCAACAGCAGTGTCAAATATGTTTGAAAACAGCATATCTTTCAAATTTCCGATAGACAGTGTCACAAATGTTGGAGATAAGTGTTTTTTCGTACAGTGTTGCCATTGCTCTCTTTGAAATAGTAGAGTTTATTTAAAAAAATTCATTAAAGTTTTGCAAAATATGAAGTAAATAATAAAACAATTTCAAAATTCCAAATTTGGGCTTCCATGTGCTCATATTCGGATGGAGGTTACATTATTCAAAATTTAATGGCTTTTTCCATGATTTTTTCACATTTCAAGAAACATGCATACATTCATACAGATTCTTCATTATTTAATTTCTTTATAATACAGGGAATAATATTTGGTGGCAACAATTTAAAAAGTGAAATGCCATTTATAGTGGGCTCATGCAAAATACCGTTTTGAGACTAATAGCCCTTCTAGGCTAAGCTTAACACTCCTTTGGGCTATTAAAAAAAAGCAAGGATGAAAGTCTACAGAAAAAATCTGACAGTCATGATTACTCGTACGACAAATCCTAACATATAAATCACACCCTGGTTATCTTTAGAGAAACATTAATCTAGAAACCTCACCAATGGAACCTGCTTCTTAAATTCTTAAAGGAAGAGGTGAATGCTTCTAGAGTTAAGGTAAAAGGCTGTATTGAAAATTATAAAATACTTAAAGTGAATGGAGATATAATTAAAAAATTGCTGAAGGAAAGAAACTTTTTCCAATTACTGTAAATTTAGCTTGTGAAAAACAAATATTTATGTTTTTGTCTTCGAACCTTAACAAAGCTTTTTCGTTTTTTGTATGCTTCATTTTTGCCAACATTCGATGTTTTCAGCACAATTCTACAGTGCAGAATTGCGTTAATTCTTGTTTTGCAATCAATGATTCGCGTTTTTATAATGACATTTTATCAAAATTTGTAAAACCAACCTTTGTTTTATATTCTAATTCTATATATCATGTGATTTATGGTAAAATTGAAAATCAGAAAGAAGGTTTGATACGGCCAAAAGTCGTTAATCCAGACTCGTCGGGACTTCGGCGATTCCGGATTATCGATTTTTCCGGATTATAGATCATCAGTTTCAATCTGGTAAGAAGGCATGCAGAAATTCTAAAATTAAAAATATGAAACCGTAATTTATGAAATAAAGAACAATTATGATCTAAAGGGTATCAAAATTTACAAAAAAAAAAAAAAAAAAAAAAAGGCTTAATATTTATTTGTTTACTTTATTAAACATTTCTTTCAATGTAAGTTGTTTAAGTTGCTTCGTTTTATGTGATAATACTTTCTCTTTAATTCTATTAAACAGACATAATTTCTTGTTCAGTTACAAAGTTCCGCTGTTCAAGTCCCATAATTGCTGTGCCGAGAATACCGACTATCGAAATGTCAATCGAAATTTTTTCGTTTTCACTAACCTCTCTGTCACCTTCTTCATGTCTTTATCCATTTTTTGCAGCAATTCCATTTTTTGTTTGATGAACATCGAAACATACTTTTGTTCTGTAGATCCTTTGGGAACTCTAGCATCGGAAATTCTATTTGACATAATCGAAAGTTCAAGTTTACTTTTATAAAATTGCTCTTACAGTCTGCAAAAAATAATAAGTCGGATCCAATTCGAAGATTAAGGAACAACGCAATTATCAACATTAACTGAAATAGATAATTAGATAATTTTAGCTTATACCGTCCGTTATACATTAAACGCACACGCAAAAACGTATTCTGCGCTTGCGCACACGCATATGCGCAGTTGTAAAAATCTTACGCACACGCGTAAACGCCTATGCGCATGTGTCAACGCGGCGCATGCGCAGAAAGTTTTTACCTTTGAGGTCCGGATTATGGGTGTCCGAATTAACGACTTTTGACTGTATTAGGAGCTGCAACTGACATAGTGGAAGAATTTTCAGAGGAAGACAAGTTTCATTTAGAAGCTACTTTTGCCTACTTATGTGATTACATACTGCTTTAAATTCCCAGTCAACAATTTATTTTATGTGCTTGAGTTGCAGATGTTTCTGCTCTAGAAAGTGTACCTGATATAAGACATTTTTTTAATAGGTTTTCAGTTGCACTTAATTTTTTGAAATATGATGATACTGATGTTGCAACTGATAAACTGTAGTCACATTTTTGCAGTTTAGAATCAGAAAACTTTGATAAAGTTATAAAACTAGCTAAGATTGACACACGATAGAGCTTAATTGAAAAAACTAAAGGTGCTGATGGAGTTTGAAGGTATAATGAACTGTCTAGAATTTTATTGGTCATCCTGACGATTTCCTGTAGCATTATAAAAACTTTTATTAGCAAAAGCAGGTCTGTGTGGCAATTGCTATGAGCAAAACTGCAAAGTTTCTTTCTTAATGAAAGCAAAATCTGCCACTTTTCTTAGGAAAACTGATTAAAGTGTTATTCTATTAAAAGATACAAATAATAAAAAATGTTTGTTTACATGTAAGTATTGTTACGAATTTTGTACTTAAATAATTTTAGTAGAAAGTAAAGTTGTTGTATTTCTTTTGTAACATGAAAAATCTAAAGAGAAGCTATGCCGGAAAAGTAAGAATACCAGAGCAAGTGCATTTAACATTGAGTAAATGAATATCTGAGTAATATGGGGAGAAATCTACCAAGTCTCCAAATTTGGCGACATTTTGGTCCAGTCCCTGTATCACTGTAATATGTATTGAAATTGAATAAATGTAATTGACCACTGTATTAGCTGTAGCTGTAATTTGCATATTGCTTTCCTGTAATTTCGAGAAGCAGAAAGTACTAGAAACATCTCGGCGACCGCGAGAGCATCTGCTCTCAGTTGCTTAGTTATTGTTTTTGCAAGTTATTAGTTCCATGTAAACTGAGATATATCTGAGTTAGCTTTCTCTTTAGATGCACTTTGCATTGTGTTATGTTTAATGTTCTTAGTAGTTTGAAGTGTAAATAACTACTGATTGTACTGATGATACTGTGAACACTTATACAAATATTTCTATGAAAAAATTCCAGAGCTCTGAAGTATTTCTTTAGATAAAAATAAAATTTATTAATTTATAATCGGACCTGTGTGCATTCAATCTATTATGTATGCACACAACAGTATTTTTGCCCTGTTTTCATTTAAGAAAATGTAATTAAACTCTCAGCTATTAATTAGATACTATTTAAAGATCATTTATTATTTAAAATATTTTTCTTTCTATATATTTTTAACATTTTAAAAAAAAATTATCATTGAGAAAATTCTCTGAATTTCTATAAAAAGTCTCCTATTTTTGAGTATAAAATGCTGTTAAGTATGCTAAGAAAATCAACAATGAAGGCATCTTGAACTTCAAATTCTATCCCACAGAGTTCGGAACATTTTGCAAAAGCTGTGCCTTCAATACAAATTGCAATTATTACAGCATTTGACTGAGGTTCTTTAAGTCGGACTTTGTAGGAACTGGAATATATGTATATGAAATCTCACTTACTGTGCATATAGGGAAGATTTGTAAGTTCCTGCAATAAACTTTTTAGATCTTAATAAAAAAAGTGTGTAATATTTTGCTTTGCATTTAAAAAAAAAAAAAAAATATTGAAACTGTATATTTCGTGTTCTGGGTACCATGAAGAACTAGTGCAGCAAAATGTACCCTGTCCATCATTCATCTTAACCATGAGCACAAATATGCATGTGTAAATCCAATCGCTGACATTTTAGAAGAAGCTTTATGGATAATTTTTGCATATCCTAACCCTTTTTGCTTTAGCCATCAAAATTGCGTATATTTCTCCTTTTCGTGTTCCTTGACAAGGAATTTCAATGCTTTTTTCTGTTTGGCCATTATATATCAAACCGCATTGACATAAAATGCTAAAATTTGAGAACTGAAATTGGAGAATGGGATTTTTAAGAACTGAAAAATGAATATAGGCAAGAAATGGCTTGAAAATTGAACTTACGCAATTGTATAATTGGTAGAAAGATTAAATAGTTGTGGGTAAATAATACTAAAATTTACTAATATTTGTCTGATATTTAATGTTTCTATCAATTACAAAATTGATAGCAAGATTAAATAGTTTTAGTAAATATTACTAAAATTTAATAATATTTGCTAAAGCATGGTTAGAGGTTTTTGTGTACTTGTACACATCAGCTAAACAGGCTGTCGGCTAAGCGTCACAAGCCCGAGCAAATTGTGCTGATATTTCATTATTATTATATGGAGAAATTATGGAAAATCATGATGCTTCCCATTCTGTTACTCCTTAAAACTACATGTAATATTAGTACATTTTCTCGCATACGCAACGTAATTCGGACTTGGAGACTTTCAAATTTCTGAAAAGTTTTATGGAATAAGGAGTGGTGTTTTTTTTTTTTTTTTTTTTTTTTTTAGTATTTAACTGTAAATTACTCTAGACATTTGTAGCACAATATTGGACACGGAAAAGCACAGCATACAATGAAAATATTGCTGATTTTTTTATATCAAGTTCTAGCACAATAGGAGTCATAAAAAGAACAAATACCCTAAGATAATTGAGAAAAAAAAAAAACTTACATGCAAAAATGAAGAAAATTAGTAGTTCTTGGTAGAAAAATATCATGTGATGGTAGATTGTCTCTCACACACATTCCGTCATCGTGCAGCTTCATCACATAGGAAACAAAATATCCATACCAAATGCACCTTGCTTCTCTATGTAACAGAGCATTCCTTCAGTCCTTTGCTGTGGGTCATCATTTTAGTTTTTCCGTTGTCTTCAAACTCTTCGTTTTCTGATTCATCTTCTTTTTTATACGTATTGTATTTCACCAGTGCAATTTTGTCTGCATGCCCTAAAATTTCACAACATTCATCGTGTCTCATCCATTCTTCAACATCACACCATCAGTAACTTCTTCTCAACTTGGAATTTTTTTAAATAAATCAACTATTTCACAATTTTGTCTCTTCTCTGCTTTTGTGAATTCATTTCCTAAATGGTCTAGCAACTTTCTCCAGGAACGAACGAGGCTTATCTGCTCAATTTCACTCCAGGAATGAGTTATCTATCCAACATATCTATTTCTTGAGGTCCTTCATGGCTAGCACAAAAGATGAAAGAAGTTATCATCTGTATTTTTTTCTTCAGTGCCTCCAAAATGCCCTGGTCCATTGACTGACACACTGAAGTTATGTTAGGAGGAAGAAGCATGGCTGTTATATCTTCAGCTTATAACTGTTCTGCATCAGGATGAGATGAGGCATTGTCTAAAATGAGAATTGCCTTTCTTCGTAGATTTTTTTATTGTAAAAACTTTCCATCAATGAAACGAACTGCTGATGAAACTAATCATTAAATATTGCTCCATTCATCCATGCGTTTGACTGATTCAGGTATCAAGCAGGAAGATCATAGCTGGTTTTGGTCTCATCAGAGTCTTTTTTACATTATTCAATGCCCTGCGATTTTTAATTATTATTTGCCTATAAGTGCTAATTTGAGCATTGCTGCATGCCAAAACTGACTCTCTTCTTGCTTCTTTTGTACCCAGATGCCGATTTTTCTTCCCTGCATGCAACCGTTTTCGAAGGTAGTATTGAAAAATTCAGACCAATCTCATCATAATTATAAATTTGATTTCCAGCTAAACTCTCCTTTTCAATTAGTTTGTAAAAATTATCCTTGAAGATCGCAGCATTTTTCAAGTTAGCAGATAGCTTTTCCCCCACGAACGTTGAACTGCTTGATGCCATACCGCTTTTTCCATCTGTGTAGCCAGCCATCACTAGCAGTAAATCCAGGCTCTCCTTGATGAAATATCACAAAATTTTTAGACTTTCTCATGTAAAATTGGCCCTGAAATAGGTGTCCCTGTTCCGTTTCTATCTGAACCACAAATAAAGCAACTTCCTCACTTTTTCAAATCTCTCACCTTTCATACTTTTCCTTCCTTTAACCTATCCGTACAAGCTCTTTTCACACGCCAAGACGCGATTTCGAACCTCTTCTGTTTCCACCCTATCAAAGTAGTTCGTTCAACACCTAAACCCATGGTAATTGTGTTTACACTTTACCTTTGTCCAGTCTCTTTAAAGCATCTAGTTTCATTTCTACTGTCATGATAGTTTTTCTTTTCGAACAACATTTTCTCTTCACAGAATATCAAAAGTTCCCAAAAATATGATGACACTTATATGCCTGGATGTTAATTGAGGAACGATACCCACAATGAACTGGTGTGAATTTAATTTGCAATAAGATGCAATCAGAAAACTTCAGGCAAGTCTCCTAACGTTTTGCAACAATAGAAAGGAACGTAAGCCAGCGGCCAGCCTACCTTTCTTCATATCCTCAAAAGAAGCAAACAGAATATCTCAATTTATTCAACAATAAAAGTCTATAAAATCTATGCTATAAAATCTTGGAGCATAATATTGCAGATATAAAGACTTTGCTATATATATATATATATATATAATTAGTTGTCTAAAAGTATTTTAGACATTGAGTGATTGCCTATATCAGCAAAGTTTCTTTTTTAAACTTAGTTGAAACAGCATGCTGCACTGAGTACCACTTTCCTAGAAAATATGGTTACCAATTTTTGTATAATATATATACTTCAGTATCTACATTTGTTAAAAACTTGTGGATCTAGATCTTTTAAAAAAAAAAAAAAAAAAACAGAGTGAATGAATTTTATTGTATTGCCCTTGTTTCCTATTTTTGCTACATAAGAATTCCTAAGGTATCAGTGCTCAATTTTCACTGATTATCTTATCTTACGAGCCTGTTTTTCCCATTCCCTTTCATTTTATAACATTCAATGAACTCCTTGTTTATTGCATGGCTTTATAAATTCTAAATAATAATTAAATTGCAAACATATTTTTCTATTCATGTTATTTTCCCTCAAGTCTATTTTTTTCGATGCTTAAATGTGATGAAAGGTACTTGGCGTTTTTATCTATAAAAAGTGCTACAGTGAATAGTTCTGGAACTTCAATTTATACCTGCTTTATTAGAAGTTTGGCCAAAGCAAGTACGTGTTTTGCTTATAATATTAATATATGTTAAATCAGTCTAATACAATTATTTCCTTTTTTTTCTCTAGCTGTCACTAAGAGAGTGGGATATACCATATGATGAGCTTGATATTAATGAAGAAGTTGGCACTGGGCGATTTGGAACAGTTTATAAGTAATTTTGATTGTCCTTTGTTTTAAATAAATAAACAGCTATGCAACAGAAATTAATATGTATAATATCAACTAACTTTTTTTTAATTATTATTCCACAGTGTAAGCGATCTTGTATTCTAGTCCTTTTCAAAAAGAAAGATCTGTTAAAATGAGTTCGATTCTGTAACAGTATTTAAATTGTATATATGCAGAGCAGGAGAGATGTAACTGCTTAGGTTGAAAAATTCACTTCAACATAAGCAGTGATTAGTAAAAATGATTAAAAAGAAATGTTATTGAATCAAATGAATGCAGTTATCCAAAAATATTTACTTATGAAAGAAAGAGAGGGAATGTGATTTTGCAATATATGCATGAAGTTTATTTTTGGGATGTACTGCTTTTATGTTTATAGTTTTCTTAATGTTTATTTAGTATTTAGGTGCTAAAAATATTTATTGGTTTTTTTTTTTTTTTTTTTTTTTTTTTTTTTTGTGATGGAATTCTTTTTAGATGTTTGCTGTTTTATTGAGAAATGGAAAAAACTATACATTTATTATTTACCGACATTATTTTCACACATTCATGTAAAATATTATGCAGTTTTATTATTATTATTTCAATGTAAATAACAAACCATACAAAACAAATGTTTAAAAATTCCATGTAAGGAAAAAAAAAATTCGTATATAAAGGATAAGGCTGACTATTTATTTAAGTCCAAATTTGAATTTATTTTTGACTTAAAACAATTTATAATTTTCAAATTATGAAAATATGCATTCATAAGACAATTTTTCTTTTTCAGTTACTTTTGGCTTAAAGATAATCAGCCAGTAAATCATAAGCATTAATCTTCAGAATCATACTTGTAGTAAATAATAAAATTTAAACTGTGTTTGGCATAACTTCAACATTCAATGTTTTAGTGCGTTTTATGGAGATTTCCGGTTATGTTTTTACCACCAATCCTCAAATTCCATATCACAGATTATGTTCTTACTGCATTAATATAAATATTAACAAGACATAGTACATAATAAAAATTAAGCTTTATTTCGGAACTTCGCGCACACTGCCCGACAGCCTGCCTGTTTTCGCTCTGCTCGCTACTCGTAAGAAATTTCTCCTCTATGGTTGCCACACTTATCGGAGGGCGCAAGGCGCGCTCCTTATCGCCATCACCACAGAGTTTCCCCCCAGTTCCTTTAATGGCTATTCAAAGGAACGACATAGGTTATGAAATTATCTCAGAGTATCCGAACTGTCGGGTATTTTTACATGATTACAAAATTAGAATATAAAATTAGAAAAGATCAAAATGAAATTCAATATATAACAAGGTATTGACACATATAATAAACATGAAATAACAAGAAATATGTTAAGATATGAATTTAAAAAAAATGTTTTAAATTGTTATGTAAGAAGCAAGTTTCTTAGGGAAGTGAACATGTCTTCCCGATCTGGTGACAGTTTGTGTCTTAGAGAGTTCGTTTGCAGATTTATTCTGCTGAACTGTCTTTAAGTCTTTATTTGTTCGGTTCAGTTCAAATTAGAGTCCCGAAAGCAAATAGGCTGGATTTCACACGGTCTATAGACACAGTAAGATTTCAGACCGTTAACATCAATTGTGAAAGTTTTGTCCGTTCTAGAAAGGACTTTATGTGGACCTGTATATGGTTGGCACAGAGGTGGGCTTTACTCGATCGACACGTAAGTATACATGCGTACACGACTTTAAGGTAGCACTTACGTAACATTTTTCTTGGCAATGTGCAGATGTTGCTATTGGATTCAATTGTTGGTGCATTCTATGCCGGAGATTCGTGATAAATTGTGTGTCATACGAAGATATCTTAGATGACGTTATCATATCACTAGGCAGCTTGAGAGTTGTGCCGTACACCAGTTCAGCACAAGATGACTGTAGATCTTCCTTTACGGCTGTCCGAATACCAAGCATAACAACTGGTAGTGTTTCAGTCCAGTTATTGGTCTCGTGAGCCTTGAGAGAAGATTTTAAATGTCGATGAAATCGTTCAACAATGCCGTTGGACATTGGATGATAGGCTGTTGTTGTGATTCTGTTCGTACCCAAAATGCGCGTAAATTCTGCAAAAATTGCGGATCTCATTTGAGAACCTTGGTCTGTTGTTATGATCGATGGGCAGCCAAAACGAGATATCCAGCAGTGGAAGATGGCTCTGCAAATGGTTTCCGTTTTCATATCCGGGATGGGAATGGCTTCAGGCCATCTGGAGAATCTATCTATTAGAGTCAAAAGGTACACGTTGCCTTCTGATGGAGGTAACGGTCCGACGATATCCATATGGATTTCTGAAAAACGTGCATCAGGAAGAGAGAATGTGCCCAGTGGTGCTTTAGTATGCCTAGTAATTTTCGATTTTTGGCAAGATTCACAGGATTTCACCCAATTTTTGATATGACGTTTCATATAGGGCCATACATAACGAAAACAAATAAGCTTCATAGTAGCTGCAATTCCTGGATGTGACAGATTATGCAGATGATTAAAGATGAGTCTGCGAAAGGAATTCGGAACAAATGGACGAGGAATGTCCGTTGATATGTCACAAAGAATATTACCATCAGAATATTGGCACGGTTTAAATTCCAGTTTCAAAGATTATGTGTTGTTTTTGAGAAGGTCTTGTACCTCCGGATCATGCCGTTGAGCTCCCGAAAATTTTTTAAAATCCAAAAATGGAGATTTTGTTATGGAATCAATTTCGATTCTTGAAAGAGCGTCAGCAACAACATTTTTTTGAACCTTGCATATGCCTAATATCAGTAGAGTACTGAGAAATAAAATCTAAATGGCGCAATGTCGAGGTGAACATTTATGAGGGTTCTGTTTAAAAGCGTATATTAACGGTTTTTGATCCGTATAAATTATAAAATTTCTGCCCTCTAACATGTGTCGGAATTTCTTAATTTGCAGAATAAATTAGAAAATAATTCCCTATTCGTACGCGATTACCATTTCTGTTGACTTTTATTGAGTTTCATAGAGAAAAATGCTATAGGTTTCCCATGTTTGTTGAGACAACTGCATAAGTGTGCCGCCGATTGCAACGTCTGAGGCATCTACCCAGATGCTTAGCTGGGCTCCGGGAATAGGGTGTCTCAAAAGGGTAGCCTGAGCAATGGCATTTTTGGCAGCAATAAAGGCTTGTTCAGCATTCTTGTTCCAATTTAATTGTGGGGATGAATCCTGAACACGAGAACGAGATTTCTTTTTATTAATATAGCCTTCTAACAATTTTATTAAAGGAGAAAGAATATGTGCTGCTTTAGGTATGAAACATCTATAAAAGTTAAACATGCCTAAAAATCGGCGAAGCTGAGTGAGAGTGGTAGGTTGAGGAAAATCTAAAATACATTTGTTATGTTCTTACTGCATTAATATAAATATTAACAAGACAGTGCATAATAAAAATTAAGCTTTATTTCGGAACTTCGCGCACACTGCCCGACAGCCTGCCTGTTTTCGCTCTGCTCGCTACTCGTAAGAAATTTCTCCTCTAGGGTTGCCACACTTATCGGAGGGCGCAAGGCGCGCTCCTTATCGCCATCACCACAGTTTTGATTTAAAAAGTTAAAATTGGCTTAACCTTTTCAGCATAATTCAAAAATAGGAAGCTTTGTTACTAATGTGATAAAATTTTTCATATAGAAAAAGAAGCCAGTTTACAGTGTTAAAATATGATTTCAATGTCCAAGCTTTTTAATGTTAACCTGTACCTGTTACATATCTTTCTTATTCTTTGTTATTAGATGAAAAGTGCTCACATGCTGTGTTTTGTTCAATGCTTGTTTTTATTCTTTTTAAGAGGGAACTGGCATGGAAGTGTGGCTATCAAAATGTTAGATATGGATCATGTAGATGATAAAAAAACTTTAGAGACATTTAAGCAAGAGGTAACTATATTCAAGTGCATTAAATCTTTTATAACTGTTAATCTTAAGTTTTAACGGTTACAGCATTTCTGAAAATGTTCTTGTTGTAGGTTGCAACTTTTCGAAAAACCCGTCATGAGAACTTGGTACTTTTTATGGGAGCTTGCATGAAACCTCCAAAATTGGCTATTGTTACTAGGTGATGATGAAATCAATCAAAATTTTATATCCTGTGTATAAAATTTTAGATATAAATTTAAACTGCATTAATTTATTTTGTAAGCTCAGTTAATAACATTTTAAGCATATAATTTTGAAATTTTACATTAGTTTTAAAATTTGTCTTTGTAAATAGTTAATTTTTATTATTGTTATGAAGAGCAGTCTTTATGTTCAAATTCTGCAATATAAAAATTACATTTTCTTTCTCTGTTTAGTTTGTGTAAAGGAATGACTTTATTTACACACATTCATCTACGGAAAGATAAATTTAATCTTAACCGGACAATCACAATAGCTCAGCAGATATCTCAGGTAATTTTATGCATATGTATGTTGTTAAAGTTCTTGTTTGAATAAATTTGTGTTTTGTGTTCGTCAAATATACATCCCATTATTGCTTACTGTGTAAAAGCGCTTTGTGAAACAAAAAGGTTTTAAAAAAATATTAACACAAACTTTATAATGAAATTTGATGTTACAAATTCAGGATGAATTTTCTTGCACTAATTTCTCAAAAACTTGTGTGTCGACTCAAGTCTTAATAAAGAAGTATTATCAAGAAGAATCTTGCAATGAAATTATTGCAACTTCAAAACAAATATTTGCCATAAACTTTAGAAGCTTCTATTGGACCATTTGCAACAGAAACTCAAGAATAAATATGCATGTACTATTATGTAGAGGCAGGGCTCTTGCTTAATTATGCTTGTAATGTTCCAAAAGTTCAGCATTTACGTAAAAGTGCTGCTATCATTATTCATATGAACCAGTGTGGCATGAAAGTACCAGAATTTTATTTTATCCTTCCATTTAATAAACTGATCTGCATAGTTTAAAACTACTTGTATAATAATACCAACCTATGTATGAAGATTTCTGCTTTCAAGTTAAGCTACTGCCTTTTTTCCCCTTTTTATTATATACCATTGTGAAATTTTATGCTTCTCTGTATAAAGCCTTTATAAAAGCACTGGCACTGTTCATTCAGCACTGTTAATGCCAAGTCCCTTGTTAATTAGATTACAGACAGCTCTGAACTAAAACCTAAAAATTACAAAAACCAGAAAAATTAGAATTTTTTTCTATTTTTTGTAATCTTTAGGTTTTAGTTTTGTGTATTTCTTTAATTCTTACATATTTATAGTATTTTTTAAAATTTGTTGATGTTGAATTTCACTACTTCTTTTTGGGTCTTTGTGAAAATAAGTTCTAAATTTCTTCCTCTTTGTCTGTACTGATAACTTTTGCATGGAAATAATTGGAATAAAATAATTTTGTTTTTAAATTAAAAAAATATGTATGTGTGTGTGTATATATAGCATATATATGGTTCTAAATTTATTACGCTTTTGTCTATAATTAAATATATAATATATATATATATGCTTTTTTTTTTTTTTTTTCCTACTTCAGGGTATGGGATATCTTCATGCCAGGGATATTATTCATAAAGATCTGAAAACAAAAAACATTTTTTTTGAAAATGGCAAAGTAGTAATTACTGATTTTGGTTTATTTTCGGTTACAAAATTATGTCACGGTAATAGGTAAGTATTTTGCTTCAGTTTCCTCTAATTAAAACTGTATTTTTAAATTCTGATCAAATTTATAATATCTATTTAAGCTTACTGGTTTTGGATAATATTTCAATTTAATATTTGTTATTCTGTAAAGCTTTCACATATTCT